AAAATGAACTCCTTGGTAAAGGCCATACCTGCTGCTAATGGGCAGAGATTGAGGATGTGAGTTTCTTCCAGGATTGATTTCCACACTGATAATTGCAATGGTGCCCAACTAATCAAGCTTGTCCCTGGTACTGAAAATATCAGATTGATTCAGGTTTGATGCTTGTTGATTCCTGTAGCTCAAGTTCTTACACCACACACTCGAGATGTGAGGATTTGGAGAGTGGCTGATTTGTTTTGTTTTGGAACAACAGACAAAATTATTTCTAGTCTTATTGCATTTCAGCACACTTAGAGATGAAAACATCAATCTGAAGACCTCATTTATCAAGTAATTTTTTTTAATTTTAAGAAGTGTTCAAATTAAGCTTTTTCAAGCTCACTTGTTGGAGGCAGAGAAATTTATATTGCACCTCAGAGTGAGATATAAGAAATTTTTATCATTAATTTAAATAATTTGAAAAGAAAACTAAAGTAAACTTGTAGCAAATAGCAATGTGTGCTATGTGTAATCTCAGTGTCCTGCTATCCACCAGTACCATGTAACTCAAAAAACCATTCCTGATTTAATTGGGCAAGTGTGTTTTATAACTGTCCAAATTCCTGAAGGACCTCCCACAAAATAAACTTTTTCAGGTAGCCTCTAATTCAAAGAAATGTTTGGCTAATTCATACATTCTTTATTGTAATCTTAAATGAGAACCACTTGTTTGCCACTTTCCTTTGATGATAGAAAAGTTCCCAACTTCTCATATGTTAGTTTGCAAAAAATCTGAATTATCAAGTTCCTACCTAATTTTCAATTTTCAGCTTGTTTTTATGCAGCATTATATATATAGATATATACACATATATATAGCAGTTGCATCCTATTAATGAGAAAAATATCTGCAATTGCTGTAATTTAAGATTAAGGGAGTCTTTATTTCTTTGTGAGTTTGCCTGTGATAGTAAAGCTGAGGATTCTACCTTCCAGGGGATAAGATATATTTAATATTTACCCTACTGCAGAAAACTTAAGTCATGACTCACCATATTCTGCAGTATAATAATAATTTCCTAATTTCTTTATAAATCTAGAATCCATTGGAGGAAGATACAGCTCTGGAAAGAAGCTCAGGGAACTGGATGATGCTTCTTTGTCTCTGAGAAGGTGAATTTCAGAAAAGGCTTAGGTAAGTTTCCTGAATATACAACAGAATATTTATCTCCAGGTTTGATCCAGGGAAAAAAGAGAGTTGTTTCCTGAAAGGGAGGAGAGGAAAGTTTTTGGCTTAACACTATGTGGTGAGGGTAAAATCCCAGAGGAAGGTAATGTATAATATCTTGGGGGAAAAAAAATCCTAAACCTACTGAACAACAACAAAACCAAGCCAAAAAACAACAACAACAATAACAACAACAATAAAAAATAAAAAAAAACCACAACCCTGCAACAACAAACAAACAAAACAAAACAAAAAAAAAAAAGCACAACCCCAAAAAACACAACCCTGCGACAACAAACAAACAAAAACCAGAAAAATAAACCCCTGAATAGATGTCAAATACTTATTTTCTGCAAGATTCTAGCCTCAGTCTGATGTAAAACAAGGTAGATATGATTTTAGTTTCAAATTAGCTGAGACTCCTGTAGTGTATTATTATAGGGGGAAAAAAAATAATTGGAAGTTCTCAGTGTTTTAGAAGCAGGAGAAATACAGATTTGTCTAACTTCACCTGAAAGTCCCAGGGCAGTGAGAGCTGCTTAGGGCGTGTGATCCAGGAAATGCAGCAGAGTTACATGTGGGAAAATCTGACTCTCATCCACATGTGATCCAGGAAATGCATGTGGGATTTACATGTGGGAAAATCTGACTCTCATCCACAACAACGCCACCTCTCTGACCCTCTCCTACCTTTTGATTTCTTGGCATTGCATTTACTGAGCTTTTTAAAAATTATTTCAAATTGCAAGAGAGCATTGCAATGCTAAGGAGCTGTATCTGAAGCTCAGTAAAAAAGAAAAACCAATATGGCTGAGAGGGAATTTTCCTAAGCCACCCTTCAAGCAGCTGCTGCATGAAAAATGAGGAGATTCCTTGACCAAGCTTGCCCTCTGCAGGCCTCTACCTTTTTTCTGGCACTGCCAGATTTGCTCCTTTTTCTAAACAGGCAAATGAAATGTGCTGCTGACATAACAGCACTTGGACGTTCCTTTTTTTTTTTAATAAAATAGTAATTACTTAAATAGATATTTGGGGACAGCTCTGTATTCTTAGTGCAACTGGGTCCCAAACATTAATTTATTTTGCCCAAGTAGCTCCTGATTAGGTTAGCTGTTATCTGAAGCAGCGAGCTAATGGAGATGATGCAGAAGGGATTTGATTTAACCCTGGAGCTGTTTGTTCAAGAAAAGCTCCCAGCACAGGCCATAACCAGCATCTGGTCTAATGAGCCACAGTGAGAATCCCACCGACTGCATCCCTTATACTGGATAACAAGGAAGAGTCAGACTGGAGTAGGCTTCTGGTGAAGGAACTGAGAGTAAATACAGCCCTTGGGAGATGGAGGAGAGAATACTTTGCAGCTCCTCACTTAATGTCTAATGAATAAGAACCTTTTAAGGATCTGTCATTTTTAAACTAAACCAAAAAATCATTGCAATGGCTTTTAATTTTCACATAACAAATAAAAGCAGTACAGGTCCATATCATAAATCCATTTATGAATGATAGCTGTTTAAGTATTTCACTCAATGTCCTCTGTGCACATATGCGATTCTTTGAAAATAGGACTGAAACCTAAATGAGGTAAAGGTGTGATTTTTAAAATAATTTATGAGATATAACTCTGAAATGTAAAGCTAGTAAAACTAAATTTTAAAAACATCTCTGGATAGCTGTAGAAATTTGGGAATTTTTTTATTTGTAATTGACATAACATTATCAAAATCTCTGGTAAAAATGAAATCACATTGACAATCCTGCTTATGTTGGTATAATACATGTTAGCTGAGGCAGACGGAAGCTATGCCGCTCAACACTTTTGTTTCAAAACATTTTGCAAAGAGAAATTATTTAACCTCTTCCTTCCTTCTTCTTATAACACTCTCTATGTGCTTGCAAGAGGCATAAAATATCCATTAATAGTAATAATTAAATGTAATAGTATCTCTTCAATAAAGGCAAAATTGAAAGAAGTGCACTAGGGCTCTCCTGGGACTCTGTGACCACCGACTTATGAATTCTGAGGATTCCAGCCCTGAGAAGGCTGAAAAGCCAGAGGAATTTTGTTTCAAGCAGAACCCAAAGCCCACTAGGAGTTCACAGATCTATACCGAAAGCTGATTTCAATGAGTAACTTCAATCAGTAAATTCCAATGAAAAAATGCTTTACTGCAATTTTTCCCCCGATCAGCTCAATAAAATATGCTCTTTGAAACAAGATCTGACTTGTGTTGCAAGTTTAACAAGGGCTAATTTAAATAGGCCATCATTACAGTTCCAGTGTTAAAGAGCAAATGAATTCAGCATCTAAGATTAGAGGATATCTTTCAGAATTCTGTGAAATAAAATAAATAAACAGACTTCTGTTTTGACAGCTGGTGTCTGGCTTTTAGCCAAAATAACAGGATAACAGAAGTGTGGAAAATTGAGATGTGTTCATTAGAGCAGTCTCAAATGGAGCCTCCTCAGGCCCCTCGGGCTGCACGATGGATTTACTACAGACTGAGTAAGAAAAAGACTCCTACATTCATGGTACATTATCAATTTGCTTAAGAGTTCTTTAACTTGTTTTTCATATAGATACTTGCAGGTAGAACAAAAAATGTGGTTTTCTCCTGCATTTGCGTTAAAACCATCCAGTAGATGGGGCCACAGAGTTGTACAAAACACAAAAGAAAGATTAGTTCCTCTTAAGAAGAACTCGTAGTGCAAATAGAGCTTTGTTAATCCATTAAATTCTAATGTCAGGCAAATAATTTATTTGCTTATATCGTGTCTTGACTGTATGACTCATTAAGCTCTACTCAAAGGCTAGTTAATATGATTCCGTGTGTGTTTGATACTGAAATAATTACAACTCTCAGCCAACAAAAATTACAGCTGAGATCTTAATTTTCATTCATCGTTCATTCCCAGGTATTGTACAGGTGTGAGATAGGCTTGGGATGAAGCGACACAATGGAAGCCATTGGCAGTAATTGTGGCAAGATCCCACATGTGGAAAGGTGTGCATGGCAGGAGGAACCTGTTAGTGGTTCCTGCAGACACAAAGAGGATGAATTTGAGTGTAGCTTGGATGCGCCATTGGGAATTCTGCCCGTTTCTTTGAGACCTTTGCTTGTGTTCTTTTTGAATGTGCGGATCAGAAAAGAACGTGTGGGTTTGAAAGCGCCCGCAGGGAGGCTGCAGGAGCAGGGGCAGCCCCGGGGGCTGTGTACCGGTGGGGGCAGAGGTTTACACCGTGCCTGCACACGGGGTGCAGCGTGGTGCCAAGCAGCACAAGGGGCACCAGCAGCACAAGGGGCTCTGAAGGTGTTCCTGAGCTTCGCCTCACCAAACACCAAGCTCCTCGTGGATTCAGCTGTGAAATCTCATCTGGGAGCAGGCGGAGCGGGGGGCTCGCAGGTCCATGGGGCAGCAGAATGAGCCCGTGGCTGTGCGAGCTCAGGGGTGCTTTAGGTGCGGGCCGGGGTCAGGGGCGCGGAGGCGGCACCGGCGTCGCCCCAGGGCAGGGCGACATCGAGCAGCAGGTGTAAGGTGCTGATGTGAAGCGACCCGAAAGATAGCTTCGGTTCCCAAGGAAAAGCTTTGCCCGGCGGGTGTCGGGCAGAGCCCTATGCCAGGGGATGCCCGGGTGGAAGCCCAGCCCGGTGGCTGTCCGGAACAGCTCTGTCCCAGGCGGGGCCCGGATGGCACGGACCCCTGGCAGCAGGGCGGTGCCGGGACCAGGCTGGAGGGGCCGCGGCAGCACCTGGAGGCGGCCCCGCCCGAGCGCAGGAAGGGAGCGCCCGGCGGGGCGGGAGGGAGCGGCCGGATCCGGCGGCGGGGCCGGGCTGCCGCCCCGCAGAGCCCGCGGGACGCTGCCGGCAGCGGCCATGGCTTTCGGGAAGGCTCCGAGGGACCCGTTCGGCACCGCCGTGGGCAGCCTGGTCGGTGAGTAGCCTGCAGCGGTGCCCCCGCGCCCCCTCGGCCCCGCCGGGCGCTGACCCTCGGCTCCCCTTGGCCTTGCAGAGCGGGCGACGCTGGGGTCGCTGCAGACGGAGGAGTGGGGACAGTTCATGCACATCTGCGACGTGATCAACGCCACGGAGGAGGGGTGAGCGAGCGGGCCGGGGGCTGCGGGGCGGCATCGAGCAGCCGGCGTAGGGCGCTGATGGGAAATAAAGAAATAGCGCAGGGAGCAGGTAGCTTTGGTTCCCAAGGAAAAGCTCTGCCTGTCGCGGGGCCATCGGGGCTTTTACGGGTTAGGCTCGGAGGTTTTCCCCGTAGACAAAGGTGGTGACAAAGGTTTCTTATCTGAGTTGTGTTTTGTACAAGCTGTGCTGCTCGTCAGGCTGAAGGTGTGCTCTGCAAACCCGCCTGGGAAAAGGCTTTGAGAACTTGGGTGCTTACAACACTGTTCGATACCCTTGGCTTTGCCTTCGAGCTGCCCCCCGTGCAGTGTCTCTGCCGGGCTGGGATCCTCACAGCAAGACCCATCCCGGCCAGGTGTGCTCCCGGCACCGAGCTGCTCTCTTGCAGGGACAGCCTCATCCAGGCTTGCACCGCCACTTGCTGCTCTGAACTTCCTTGTTTCCACCTGTAAAAAGGGAAAAGCGGAAACTTGTTCTCATGTAAGGTCTGCTTCAGCATTGCGTTGTGAGAACTCATTCTAGCAGTGCCATATTTTAACACTAGCTAAAGAGTTTTCCCCAGAACAATGAGGTATGGCTTGCTTTCTGCACAGGTGTCTTTTTTTCTGTGTCAACTTTTCTCTCCTCTCCTTGTTTTGGATTCCATGCTCTCACCCGTGGTTCTTAGTGCTTGGAATGTCAGTAATAATGACTTCCTTCTGGTTATTGCCATAAGCAACAGCACGCTTTGACCCTCAGTGTTAGTTTTTATGTAAAGTTTCCATGCAACAGAGCCTTTTCTTTAATAAACTGTTTCCTTTTGTGCACAGCTTAGGCTTGCAGAGGAGCTCCTTGTAGCTTCCTCCTAGGCAGCTACTACTAGTCACAGTCTGTAACAGGGTAGTAGGAGCAGCAGAACTGCTGCATCTAATTAGGCAAATGGTTATTTTAATGTAATATCCAGCTCCTGACCAGAGCATTTCCAGATGCTTCAGTGGGGGAAGCAAGCAGGAGTGGGATTGTAGTACAGCTCTCTGCAAAGCAAACTTCCCTGCTCCTGTGCCCCTATCTTTCACTTGGTGCTCTACTGATGTGCCTAGGTATGACATATGATTAAGAGGAGAAACATCTCCTATTTTTTTTCTTGTGAAGTATAGCACTTCAAACAAAGAAATGCAGTAATGGTAAACACCCCCACAATTTCATTGACTTTGAAATGTTTTCAACAAAGATTTTTTTTTTTTTTTTTAGTGAAACATTGTACTTGGGCCTATTGCTCCATCTTAGATTCTAGAGAGATCCTAAAGAGACATTAGGACATCTTGTTTATGTTGATCATGAGTGTTGGGCTGGCCCTAATAATTGTACACTGTAAGTAGTCCATATTAAAGAGGCAAAACTGCTTCCCACATGTGATAACCTCGATACCATCTTCCACCCTTTTCCTCCTACACAGATAGTTAAAAGATATGGGGTGTATATATAGAAATGAAAATGGCTGGGTTAGAAATGCCCCTGTCTCTTGGCTGGAGTGGGTTGTCCATGTGTCCGTGGTAGTTACTCAGATGAGTTAAGTGCATCCTGCAATTATAAGATTGGAAGTTATCCATGACACCCCTGCTCCTGACAGCACTCCTAGGAGAATATTTTCTAATTGCATCATACATGAAAACTGCCAGTCAACTCTTGATATATCTGGCAGTTGATATTTCCTTGCTTGGCAATAAAAGCTAGATAAGTATTTCTGTTCTACAGCTGTGGAAAAATATCATTTTGCAGAAGAGAAGAACTTTGCAGAAGAGAAGAACTTTATCTCTCTGCACAAGTCTCTGGAGTAATGCACGGTCTGCAGTAACAAACCTGATTCACTGCTTTGTTGCTCTACTTCAGTGCTGAAGAGATTTTGTTGAAATCAATGGGGCAATTGCTCTGGTTTTATGTGGGTGTAAGTACAGGGGTGGATTTGGTCCTGTATCTCAGGCTGATATTTTTGGCTCTTGGGTGAAGTTATGAACTAGGAAACTTCACTGGTAACTTTTCCTCATTCATTTCTTGTCACAGACCTAAAGATGCAGTTAAAGCACTGAAGAAGAAGCTTTCAAAAAACTGTAACCACAAGGAGATCAGGCTTACCTTGTCTGTAAGTACAGCTATATTTATATTAATTAGACACTAAGAAGGCAAACAGTCTAAACGATAAGGTGGCATGCAAATTATCCCTGACACAACTCTCCAGGATGTTTTCAGTCTTTGTTGTTTGTGTGTACAGCGCTGCCACAGTGCAGATCAGATGGTTTGTTGGCATTCCATGGACTCCTGGATGATGCAAAATCGTTTTTGGGGTTGGGGTGGAGGAAGCTAACTTCTTCTGTGTAAAAGTAGGATAGTTCTTATTTGCTCCAGTGACTGTCCTGTGAGAGCCCCACCTGTTTGTGAAAGACACAGAGGTTAGGATATTACATAAAAGCTACATTTGACCATTCTATTACTCACCTTGTGGTGCTGATCTTAGTCAGACTAAGCACAGTGTGCAGCATTGGTGGAATGTGTGATACGTGCTTGGTAAAAGGAAATGTTATCACATATAAATGATAAACTTGAAGGAAAAGGTGAGTTAAGTAAGGGAGCAAGAGGCAGAGTGAGCTGTGTGAATTTCAGATGTTATGACTAAAGGCTGGAGTGCCTGGGAATATCCTCACTTGACATCTAGAATTTGACAGTGTTCCTGAACTGCCCCAGGGTTTGGGGAGCTGTTGTGATTGCAGACAATTTAAGATTTACTGGATTATGTTAATGCAGAAAGTTCTAATACTGTCCTAAGTCCTGAGTTTCTGGCTTAAATTACTCTTGACTACCAGCAGTGCTACTGTGACAAGAGTCATATCTTTTGTATTTCAAGTTCTTGAGGATTTTAGGGTTTTTTTATTAATTGGCTAAAAGTATTTCCCTCACCATTTCCTTTTTTGAGGTTTTAGAGGCCTATCTGCATCACTTTGAGTACTGTTACTCACGAGTTTGGTATTTGTTGTGCAAAATCATAATCTATATCAAGATATGCTGAGAAGTGATTAAAGAAGATGGGTGATGGATAGTGCCAAATTGTTGGTTGCTTAGCAATTGCCCAAGTGTCTCCTAACAAGTTGGAGATGCAGATAATTGTTCAGCATGTCAATATAGACATTCAGCTCACTCCATTTCCGCACTTCTTCCCTGGCTTCCTCCTCCACTGTCTCATGAGTCACATTTTTGTGTGTTCTGTGTGTTTGCATAATGGGAACACTGGCTTTCCATTGTACCTGCAGTCCCTGTATCAGGTCTGTCTCCTGCAGCCCTTGTGCAGCGAGGTCCCGTTGTGATTACCTGACACAGTCTCTGCTGATAGCCCAGGCTTTAGGTTTGGGAGCTGTTCCTTCAGTATTTACAGTGCAGATATACCCAAGGTGACACTATAGCTCAGCTTTTGGGTATGTAAAAGTGGAAGAAGGATCTTGGTCCAGGTCTATCCAAGGAAGAACTTTATCACACTGATATTGCACTCCATTGTATTGCAGATGGAGCATGCAGCAGGTTCAGCTGGGAGTGCAGTTCCTGTTCTGTTCCAGCCCCTTTCTCTGTCCTCACCCACTCCCATGCACACCTGTAACTTGCCTGCCAGGCAGTCACATCCTCTTGGCCCAGCTGCTGTTTTCTGTTTGCAGAGTTCTTATCCCTGTATTCCTTAATCTTTTCTCCTTTTTTTTTAACTTAAATAAGTTCCAGCCTTTCCTCTAACTCTTTCTCTGTCTAGTTTTAGTTCTCAAATAAGATCTTTTATACTTTGCCTATCCCTCTGCCTCTGGCTTCTTTTCTTTTTCTTTTTTCTTTTTTTTTTCCAGTACTGCCAAAATTTTAGCATGTGTAAAATCTTCTCCCTCTGCCTCTGGCTTCATTTCTTTTTCTTTTTTCTTTTTTTTTCCAGTACTGCCAAAATTTTAGCATGTGTAAAACCTTTGATGACCTCTTTGCTGGCCCTGTGTGGCTTTTACCTTTCCCACATCACTCTTCCTATGTGCTATATCTTGTTTTTATCTTCTTAATTGCCTTAATGAAATTGTTCCTGTTTTCCATTTTGAAATGCTTTGATGACAATAGCAATTCATTGCAAATGGAAAAAAATAAATAATTTTCAATCCCTGAAACACAAGCCCTTCCCTCACTGTGCAACTCTCATCTCTTAAAAATTTTAGAGTTTTGCAAAAATAAGGGTTCTTTTTGGATGAGCTGTTAGTGCCTGTATTTCTTACAGTTATTGTGGTCCTCTACCTTTTGAGACTCTGCATCAGATTGTCTCTCCTCCCCACATTAGATAAAAGTAAGACGTATCTACAAATCACATTTCTTCGAGAAGTGCACTTTGATCCACTTCTATCTATTCGACCTTGACGTCCTTGAATTTAATATTTCTGATGAAGCTGCTTAAGGAGCATGTTCCCAGAGGATGCACACTGAGTGGAGGGTGCCAATCTTCATGGAGGCAGCTCAACTGCACACGTTAGCCCTGATTCTGTTACTGGGATGTGTTAAGTCTCAACAGTGTGTTCCTCCTCCTCGCTCTTGGATGATGCTTTGTTTACTTGGAGGAAGAAGGCTGAGTGCCAGCTGGATAATGTGCTGGCTCTGGCTTGGCTTCAGGTGCTCTGAGCTGCTGAAGTTCCTGTGAAGTCACATGGATGGAGGTGTTTGTGTCAGGCCATGGAGTTGCCTCATGCCCAGACTTTGATAACACCGAGAGATCTGGGCTGGCTCTGGAGGTTGTGCAATCAGAGTGAAGAGGATTAGAACTTTCAGGCAGGAATCCAACAGACTGTGTGTTACTTGGCTTTTTATTGCTGGTAGACTTTAGATACATAAATTCTGTTTATGTAATGAGCACTGAGACAGCTGCTGCACAGAGCTCCCTTGGTTTTGTAAAGCGTTTGCTGCAGCGCCCCAGATCTGATCCATGTGAGATCTCAGGAGCTGAGCAGCACATGGGGAAATTGTTTATTGAATGTGTCCCTCTCACTCCTGCATTCAAAGCAGTAGACAGAAATTTAAGATTAAGTTACTGTTTCACCTCTGTATTATATTGTTGGAAAATATTTTAAAGGAAGTAATTGTCCCAGAGGAATTGTGGATGCCCCATCCCTGGAAATGTTTAAGTCCAGGTTGGATTGGGCTTTTAGCAACCTGATCTAGTGAATGGCAGGGGAATTTGAACTAGTTGATTTTCAGGGTCCCTTCCAACACAAGCCATTCTGTAATTGCCTAGAATTAAATTTCGACAGGTATTTTTTTCTAAGAATATTTCTACTTTTCCTTTTAATCAGGCATAATTTTTCCGATGCAGAAAAAATTTAGCATGGCACATGTGGCCTTCAGATTTAATTTGTTAAATTAACATTTTAGAAAGCAGAGGATATAAAAAACAAAACCCTGAGTCCTCCAGCTCCTCAATTAAAAGAGTACTGCTCTATGTTATTATACTTTATGGTATATGCTGACAAAGAAGAAAAGAAGAGGACATCAAGTGGGAGCAAAAGAAATCCAAATCTCAGCGTTTGAAATGTGAAATCTGAAAAATTCAAGACTTCTGAAAATTCAGTGTTTTTGAAATGCTGAACCTTGATCAAGTGTCCCCAGCCCCTGCCTGTAATTGGTGAGTGGCAGCTGAAAGAGCTGCTCATACCGGTTTGGTTTAAGTGCTGGCCTTGGAAAGAGCACACTGCAGTTCCAAACCTCAGCTGGGCAGGCATCAGGATGTGCTCAGTGGAGTGTAATCCTGGAGATGGATTAATGGCTTGTTCTCCTTGAGTCAGAAATGTGAAGAAGCAAGCTGTTCTTCTGGGTTTTCTTGCAGCCACCTTGGGTCAGAGAAGTGTCCCTCACAAGCTGCACCCATTGCTCAGTTTTATGCACCAAACCTGACTGTTTTAGATGTGCAGTGAGTCCTGAAATCTCAGTGAGGTCTCTGTTGATAAGGAACATACCTGACTTTCTGCTATGCTCACCAACTTCTCCCATTTTTTCTTTCTGCTTCACAGCTTAGCTCACCTCTCTGTAGGTGCCTCTTATCATTTGAGTTTTGTGATTCAGTCCTGTAAACCAGAAGCCTTGGATTACACAGTTTGCATCTTTTGCTGAGTGCAGATCTCTGGGATCAGTTATCCTGGAACACAGCAGCTCTGTCAATTCCAGCACTTCTCACATCCTGTTTGCCATTGACAGGAAGTTTAATGGTTTGTTTGAAGTTAATTTGCCAGTTTCATTATTAAAACATGTTTCTGTTGAGTTTCCATTGTGCTGTGTGGAGCAGTGGTTGCCTTGGCCAGCTTGGATCTGTTCCTTCCAGTGCAGTGCTTGGGACTATGAAGTCCTATTTGCACTGGAGTCTTATTTGCACAATAAATACCCATACAGAAATTCTAATGAAAGGTGTTATTAGCATGAAAGTGGCTTGTTCATGAACAGTCCAGTTAAAAATAATTGAGTCAAATTCTTCTTTTTCTTATACCAGTTTAGTTTTTCCCTGAGTGAGTGGGCTGGACTGGTATAATTGAGTGGAAGATCCAGACCATTATTTCAGTACTTTCATTTAGTGGGTAAATACTCAGTCCCCTAAGTAGGGAATTAATAATAGGGCGTAGTATAACAAGTTTCCCATGCACTGGGTTGAAAATATTTTACACAAAGCATCTTTGAAGTACTGCACAGGCAAATAACTTGACTTATTAGCATATGTTTTATGTACTCTCTATGAAAAGTAATGTTTTGAGCCAAGATGTTTTTGTAATTATCTTTCAGTTAGCTTTTTGCACAGCAGTCTGTCAGTGTCTCTTTGTTCTTCCCTGTTTTCATTTTGGCAATATATTTTCTTCTGGTCTTCAACATGTTGTCTTGTAAGTTCCTGATCACACTGGGAGAAAAATCCCTGAGTCTTGGGGCTCAAAAATGAGTTACTAAAATTATTTCACTTAGTCAAATGTAGTCTGCTCTGAATAGGAAAGTATACTTAACCTACTTTTATCAAGATCACAAAATCATCCCTTTAAATACCTGTATCCTTTTAAGAAGATGTTCTCTCTCTGACATGATTCCGGGGAAGTTTTGTCTCAAAACCCATGAAATTTTGCAGTCTTTTCTTAATGTCAGCCCTTTGCTTTCACCTTTCTATCTTCCCTCTTATGCTGGGAGGGAAAATGAAGCCACAATTGAAGAGAAAGAAGCACAAGAGTGACAATCTTACCCTGTGTGGGTCATCATCCATCTTCAGATTTGGGCCAGGCAAGATGAGTTCTGTTCCTGTTTTTGCACCTGATCTGATTAATCCCAATTTCCTGTCAAGTCTCAGGTGACTGGGATGTAATGGCAGTTTTTGACATCTCTTCTGCAAAATGAGAATTGTAATCAGACACCTCCAGATGTACAAGGGAGAAGTATTATGTCATTACCACATCCTACTGTGTTTGATGGGGCAGGCACAGTGCTTGCAGGGATCCTGCTCTAAGCATTTGAGGCATGGTTTTGAAGTAGACTTCCCTCATGAAGATGAATCTGAGAATTGGAACATTTCAGCTCATCTGTTTCAAATCAATGTGACCTTTGAAACGTGGAGAAATTGTGTTCCAAGTTGGTGAATTTGTTCTTTCCTATTTTATCATTAGTCCCTCACTTACAGGGCAGATTGGAGGAGAGGCATTTAGTAATCTGATTTTTCTCTTGCAGAGCTCTTCAGAATCTGTCAGACCAGGGTACCTATGTGCTAGGCAGTGAACTAATTCTATTACTGAGCCTCTACAAGTAATTTTTTTAAGCTATGGGCAGATTTCCTGCTGTTAAGGTACTGTGTGTTCAATAAGTGCTGTGACATAGAAACAAGTGCGACCATGCTTCTCTGTTAAAAATAGTGTCACTGTGGCTGGCACAGCTCTTTTGAACTGTGCAGGTATAACAGAGCACACAGGGAGCTGCTGTTTCCCTCAAGTGACCTCATCAGGCATTCTAGTGAGCAGTTATCTGTTCATAGCCATTCCTACTCTTCACTATAACTCCTTGAAACAAACAAACACACCAAAAAAACAAACCAAAAAAACAAACAAAAAACCCAAAAAAAAAAAAAGAAGAAAGCTGTGAAGTTGTGGGGATTTCCCCCCATTCTTTGTGTAATCAAAGGTTTTTTGTGTGTGCAGCTGCTTGAGATGTGTATGGAGAACTGCGGCCCAAGATTCCAGTCTTTAGTTGTGAAGAAGGATTTCTGCAAAGACAAGCTGGTGAAACTGCTGAACCCAAGATACAACCTGCCCATTGATATGCAGGAGAAAATCCTGACCTTTATCATGGTGAGTCTGGAGTACACTGTGAGTGTTCACAGTGTCTTTGCCATGGGGTAAATGTTTAATTGTGCAAGCTGTTTAAATTCTTGGAACTTCTTCTGAAAGCAGACCTTAACTCTGGAGCTGTTGTGGTTCCTGTTGCACTGAATGGAGTTATCCAAAGTAGAAGAAGGGAATTACCTGTTTTTAGGACCATATGTTTTAAAAGTATAAAAGTTTTGGCCATTTCTGTGACTGTTACTGTCCCTGATATTTCAAAACAGGTTTGGGCACGAGGTTTTCAAGGCATGGTGGATGTGAGCGAAGTAAAAGAAGTTTACCTAGAATTGCTGAAGAAGGGAGTGGAGTTTCCATCCTCTGACAATAGCAGTGGTGGATGTAAGGTGAGGATACACAAGGACACTTCAGAAATGGGATGTGTTAATTTTATGGGGCACAGAAGGCGTGTTTGATCTGGGTTTTTTTATTTAAATGCTTCAGGGCAGAATATGACCAAATTACTTAAGCACGTGAGCAGGAATCTGTTTCAGTTGTAACAGCTAAGATAACAATGAAGAAACCTGACCTATATAGTAGTTTATTTCATTTTCAAGTACAGATTCATGGATTTGTTCTCAGAAATGAAGCATCTCTGTCTTGAGACTTTAAAAGATCTGTGCATGCTGTTTACTTCAAAATAAATGAGTGCTTAGTGCTCCAAACTTGTCAGCTTCTGAAAGCCTCAACAAAAATGAGTAAGGTTTTCACATACATAAGGTTTTCAAAACACATACTGTTGAGAATATGAGCATCATCTGTCTTAAAGATTAAATGGAGAGAGGTATAAATCTATAAGAAAATATTATTGTCTGCATATCTCTCCAGCTTTGCACAGTGTTATTTAAGCCTGTGTCATAGGTAGTATTGTGTGGAATTTAGGACATTAAATATAAGTATGGTTTGAACATTGTGCAGCAGCTGGAAATACAGTACATGGTTTAATGCCATTCTTTCTAAATTTCTTTTTTTTTTAGATGAATTTTCACAAGAGCTTTGGGCAGTGCGAAAGCCATCCACCACTGTGTGGAATCTTGCAGTTACAGAGTTTGATGTCTGTAATCAGTGCAGTCAGGAATAATTCAGATTTTTCCTGAGTTTGATCTTCTGGTTAAATAGTGGAGTGTGCAAAAGCTTATGTATTTAAAAGTTGTTTGAACAAGCTGTGTGAAGAATGCTCTCAATAGATACTAATTTTTTCCTTCACCTAGTGCATTAGAGATTATTTTGTCTACTTCATGTACTTGCCAGTAAAAATCAGTGGCAAACCTTCTGTTTGTCTTAGCAGACCTGAACACAGTTTTTACCTTAGTCTCCAGGAAGCAAAGGGTTTGTAGTGTATAGTGCAGGCTGGGGTTTATATTTGAATTTTTTTAGCTGTCAGTTCAGATGCAATGCATGTGAAGCTCTCTCAGACTGTTTCTGCTTTTCAGTCCAGGAGACTTCTGTATTTTACCTTCTGCAGAGACCCAGACTCAACCCTCCAGCCTTTCTACTCCTTCCAAGAGTGATCACATTCCAAATTGTCCTTCATTGCCAAATTGCAGTGGCACTCTGGGAAGGACTCTTTGCTCTTAGATGCCTTAATTATTCCCTGCTAACCTGTTGTTAACCATTCCCACTTCATTCTGTGATGGAACTTATTTGCAAACCCTTTCTAAAAATATTTGATTTCCAAGCCTCATTCCATTACAAAATAGCCATAGATTTATTTTTTTAAATAGGACTTAGTCAACAGCACTGATGATGAGGAAGCTCTGTAGTCTGAAAGATGTTCCTCTCTCAGCAGGAACCCTGCTGCAATTTTGTTCAGGCCAAGCTGTGGTTTTTTTTTTGTTTTCACAGATTTCACCCCGGCCTTGTGCAAAGTCATCCCCATCCTCTGCCAGTCCTGCCAAACGTTCCTTCCTGCCTCTTCCCACAGGCCCCACGCTGTTGTTGACTCCGGAGCAGGTGCAGCACTGCAGCTTCAGGGGAGGGTGGGTCCTGAAAGGTGCTCTGGGTGTGTGGCTTGAGCAGCCTGGGTGCCCCTGCAGGGACCCTCGGTGCACAGGGTGTGCTCTGGGCTCCTGCTGGGTTTGTGGAGTTACTGGAGTGTGTGGATATCCAGTCACATCTTACGGTGCTCTTCTGCAAATTGATAAAAGCTTGTTCCGAGATAAGAGAGAAAGCCAAGCTTGTTTCACATAAGGCTTGTGTGAAGAGGTTATTATAAAAAGCAGGAAGGAAAGGACAGTTCTCTTGCATTCCTGCTTGTCCAGTGTGTAACTAAAAGGAGTAAGAGTAACATCAGTGAGAGGGATTTACTGTAAGGAAAACAAGTAGTGCTATCAGGGTTGGGTCTTAGTTTGAGTGCACATTTAAAAGCTGAACTAATTCTATTCATTTTCATGCTTTGTTACCAGAGTAAAATATTGCTTAATAATAATAATGCATATTATACCTAATGGGAAAGAAAGTCTGTATTAGAGGTAAAAATTTTTCTGGTTGCTCTGTTCACCTACACAATATTTTCCTGTTGAATTCCAACAGATTGGGAAACTGTACAGTGAACTGGATATGGCAAAAATGAATGTGAGAGTCATGTCATCAATATTGAAAGAAAATGTTCCTGGCTCTGAAAATCCGGATGATATGAATCTTTTACAGGTACATGATAATCCATTGATGGGGCTATTGGTTTTGTTGTCATTGCTTTTTAAAGTGTTATAACTTGTCTTTTAACATCTGGTTTCAGATTGACAAATGGAACCCAACAACAGGTTTCTATCTCTCATTTTGCTCAGCTTTCTTTCATCTCTTTCACCTTCCCTTTGACATCTCAATGGTCAGGAAAGGACAATAGAGCTTGCAATGCAAATTTAAGCTCTAGCGAATTCCAATGGCAAAGGAATTTCATAATGGAGCGTTCTCTGTTGAGCATGTTCTGTCAAACAGCCCCGAGAACATTCCAGCTGGAGAAGAGATGGTGACACAGTGTCACTCATATCCATCCTGGAGTTTGCAGAGCTCTCTTTATTATCACCAGTCCCTTAGGGGCAGACTGGAGGCCAGTGAAGAATATGAAGCATTGGCTTTATGTGTGTGACCTCAAAGATTGGGAGCTTGCTCTGCTACAGAGGAATTCATGTGCTCTTTAAGTGTAGCCTGAAGGAAGTGTATTGCAATAGTCCAGTGATAGAACAGTGAGCCTGTAAATGCTCCTTCTGTGATATTATGTGCTTATGCTGTATTTTCCAGTTTAGAAATTAAAAGTACAGTATTTATTCAGCATTGAAATAGTGACCTATGTTAATGGAAGCTATTTAGTTTCATGTTGTCTCTGAGAACTTAAAAAGCTTTTACTACATCCTTCTGTTTCCAGCGTTACCTCCAAACTCCTCCAATGAGGAACCATTTTTGAGACAGTTTTACAGCATTAAGTGTTTTGAAGAACTGATCTAATTTTTGCAAGCCTTGAGTGTGCTTCTCCTCCCCAGTGTAGAAATTTTCCTGTGCAATGAGCCCTTACTGGGTGCTGTTGAGAATACACTGGTTAATTATTCTTGACCAGCTGTGTCCAGTCCCTGACACAGGGTTGGGAAGTAGGAATAGTTTGTCTTTTATTTCCTGCCTTCTGCCATGGCCCTTCTGTATGTGGGTGCACAGATTCACCTGCCCACATTAAACCAGTGGATTCTTACTGACACTCCCAGTAATAAAATTGTTGGCAAAAGGTTGAGGACAGGGTGTGGAGTTCCCATATGTAGGAGAGTGAATGAAAACTCATTCCTTTCACTGTTGTTCTTTCTGTTCTTTTTCCCCTGTGCACAGAGTGGTGTAAAACATCAGACATGGCCAACTTATTCCTTGAACAATGCTTAATGTTCCTTTTTGTTTGTGACACTACCTAGAATGCTTGGATTGGACTTCTGTTGTCACAGAACAAAATCCTTTATTAAAAGAGCTGCTTGTTTAGACTTTGAGTGAGTTGGAGGTATTGATTTTAGTACTTCAAATTATCTGGAGTCCCTCAATAAAAACTGTAACAAGGTGAACTTGATCAGTGTTTACAGTTCTTTATATTCATTAGTGGCCAGCTCCTCTCTTTCCCCACCCAGTTTAGGAGAAGGCTTAAGATATCATATTTCACTGGAAATAATGTGCTGGCCAATAACTAAAGTTAAATAATAGTTCAGGATCAGCCAAAGAGTAACAAACTTTTGTACTGGGTGGTGAATAGACATAATGCACAAATAGTGGATGGATGTGCAGGAATTTGGGTCCAGATCAGCAGCTGGTAAGAATTAGCACAAATGTATTGGAATCACTGATGGCTGTTATTCCAGCTGCTACTCCATCCTTGTAAAACTCCAGTTTTCAGGCAAATCCATGCCTGAAATTAGTATCTCAATTTCCTTCTCTGAGTATTGACACTTGCCAGTCTGCTTGTGTAATACACAAGCTTTAGAAATACACTTTTTTTAAATGTGGATCGTGTAGTAAAATGTGCAGTTGGGGAGATTTTAAATGTAATTACAGACATTAGGGTGAACACAGTTTTTTGTGGTTTATCCTGGGTTGTGAAGCTACAGTACTGAAAAGTACAGCACTCTGCAATCCTGACACAGATTTACCAAAGGGGTACAAATTTATTTTTAAATAAATTATTGATTTACATAAAACACTGTATTTTTTTGAGGAAAAATCAGATCACTTACAATATCAAAGCAATTTCTGAATAGTATTGTGCAAATAGAGTCATTTCCCCCCTCTTTTTTTTTCTTTCTTTAAGCAGAGCCAGCTTGCGTTTGCAAATGTAGTGTGAAAGAGAAAAAATGTTGGCTGAGTTAAAATTCCTGTTGCTAAAGAATTTGTTTCTTTGAACATGCAAAATCTGCAGAGGGAAGTAATATAAACAGACTGTCTTCCATTTCACTAGGCAATAATGCAAAATTCTGCTTAATAAACTCTCATAATTCTCCTATCTGCTGCTTCTGTAAGGTTTGTGTTACTTTCTCAAAAATCTATAGATTAAGTTTATCCAGACTTCCCACTTAAACAAATCGTTGGAGCTTGAGATTGTCACAGAGCACTTCTGACCTTTAGACTAATATTTTCTTTTCTTCAAGCAGACATTGAACAGGATTATGTCCAAGTATCCTGCTGAGTTTAATCAGCTTCAAGCAGGATCAAATCACATTGGCTTTACATCACCCAGAGGGGTCTCTGTTATTTTGCAATTTTTAATTTACACTCCAGAGACACATATATCTTTAGAAATGAAGGTGGGTCAAGAGGTAAGGATTGTGTAGGAGTGATGCAGTGGTGGGAGTTGTGACCTTGCATTGCAGAGATCAAGGACATGGACATTGTTCTATTTGCAGTGCTTGGTACCTGTGTGGTTTGTGTGAATTAAGGAATGTTACCTGTGATTCTACAGTGCTTGAGTGTCTTATCATTATCTCCAGAATGGACACACTGAGAGACCACAGTCACAAATCCTGATTTTTTTCCTTCCCTTGCCTTGGGCAGAAATTGTACAAGACCTGTCGGATGATGCAGGAGAGGATCATGGAATTGTTGGTGACAGTGGAGAATGAAGATGTGATTGTTGAGCTAATACAAGTAAATGAAGATCTGAATAATGTCCTCCTGGGACATGAAAGGTAAGTGCAGGGCCTTTCTCCTCACATTTGGAATCCTACCTGAATAAATGCACTTATTGGAGAGATGCTCCCTATGCCTATTGTTGATCCTCTCCATGGAGACAGATTTTATCCTAAAATTCAGGAAAGAAATATGATTGCAAAAAGAGAAAATTACATATTTGTTGCCTCCTAAACACCTCAGAAATGGTTCTGGAAAGTAGTTAGGAAACATTAGAGTGGTATAAAGTGAGTTAACAGCATAGGTAGAAAATCAGATGGAGGCACACAAAAATAATTTGGAATTTGACATCCCTCTTTGGCACAGTCCAGTGAATTTGTCAACAGCTGCTACAAATCCTTTGGTGCTGGTGCTTATCTCTGTTAAGTGTCTGCGCTTCCAGAAAAGAATACTTGTCCTCCTTCCTAAACAATTTTGACACCTTTACTGCAGGAATTGGCCATAGAGCAGCCTTCTGCCTCATTGCATGCTTAGGAGAGTTGCTTGCTGTTCTCAGCTGGATTGAAACATAGTGTTCTGCTTGTCTTACAGCAGAAAATGTCTCTTTCCTTCACACATGAAAGCACAGCAGTACTCCTGTTGACATCCTGGGTATTTGTCTGTTATGGCACTGGTAGCATGACTGGATGCTGGCAAAACTGAAATTACTTTTCAACTTGAAATTCCAGTGTTGTTCCGCAAAATATCACATGAGTTTACTTATGGAGAATGTTTTGATTTAATAGGAGATACCCTTCCATACTAAGAAGCTGATCTCTTCCACAGCTAAACAGTGTTCTAGGAATCATTATGCATCAAGTGCAATTGGTCTGTATTAAATTTAGCAAATTTATAGAATTTAGTCATTTTTTCTGAGTGCTGCACTGAAGATATCACTAATTCTTCTAAGTGTCATGCATAAACGTTGGGCTTGTGGGCATCATGACAATATTAAGTTTTCATTTACTCTTTAATCTTGTCTGCTGTAGTGTTGGTGGATTTTACAGCAGCTATCTGAAAGAACTGTGTGCTCACTTCTTCCTTTAGGAGGTTTTTCCTTTTAATAAGCAAAAAAGGAATTTTATTCAGCTTTTGTGTAAATCCACTGAAGTCAGATGTGGGCTTACATTTTTGTTACAAGTGATGAATACTGTTGAGGCCAGGAATGTCAAGCTGTGAGTAGGAGTTTGTGGATATAATTCAACAGATTCCTCACTAAAGATATGGTGATGGAAATTATTGATTTGGACAGAAAACTACTGTATTCTAGTAATGTAATGCTATGGTTTGTATGGTATAGGTCTTCCAAGTGCAGATCCATTGCACTTCAGAGTGGATAAGTATAAAAACGTATTTGGGTAATTTTCAGTTGCATAAGATTTGTTCTGTGGATTTCCCTCTGAACCATGAGGTGTCTAAAGGGCCAACTGATTTCAATGAGCTGCATCTGTTTCACACTGTGCCTGTTGTTGGAGGATGAGTCGTGCTGCATTTTCTGTTTCTGATTATTAATGTGGAATCCAAATTAAATCCAAAGCGATCTCAACTGTGCAACCAACAGCTCATATGTGTAACAGTGCCTCCCTCTAGTGTCTCTGCAGCTTCTTGGTTCTTCCTGGATTTCAGATAAACACTTTCCACTCTATAGTTAGAAAGGTTTTTTTACTGCTGTTTCTTCATGCATCTATACTCTGTACTAGGGATGCCCAGGAAAAATGACCCTGAGTAGCCAATGCAGTTGGATAAACTGTCCATACATCTGTCCATGCAACTCAGGGCTCCTGGTGCTGAAGCACAGTGACCTTCCAGATGCTCAATGTCACCTGTGTGTGTCTACTTGGGACCCACAGTAGCACTGTTATCAGTCCTAGAACATACATATTTGTGCAGGTAGATTTTTTTGTTTGTTTCCATTTCTAAAAAAAATATTGCAAAGGGTTTGTGGATTTCCCTCTGAACCATGAGGTGTATAAAGGGCCAGCTGATTTCAATGAGCTGCATCTGTTTCACACTGTGCCTGTTGTTGGAGGATGAGTCGTGCTGCATTTTCTGTTTCTGATTATTAATGTGGAATCCAAATTAAATCCAAAGCGATCTCAACTGTGCAACCAACAGCTCATATGTGTAACAGTGCCTCCCTCTAGTGTCTCTGCAGCTTCTTGGTTCTTCCTGGATTTCAGATAAACACTTTCCACTCTATAGTTAGAAAGGTTTTTTTACTGCTGTTTCTTCATGCATCTATACTCTGTACTAGGGATGCCCAGGAAAAATGACCCTGAGTAGCCAATGCAGTTGGATAAACTGTCCATACATCTGTCCATGCAACTCAGGGCTCCTGGTGCTGAAGCACAGTGACCTTCCAGATGCTCAATGTCACCTGTGTGTGTCTGCTCGGGACCCACAGTAGCACTGTTATCAGTCCTAGAACATACATATTTGTGCAGGTAGATTTTTTTGTTTGTTTCCATTTCTAAAAAAAATATTGCAAAGGGCTTCTAGTGTGGTTTGTCCTGGGAGGGCATGAGGGAATGGCCAGAACTCTGAGGACAGGAGGCTTCCTGGGACTCAGCTGGAAGTGTTCTGGTCAGAAGGAATTGGATTTGGCGCAGTGGATGTTCACAGTTACCTGCCTAGTGTGAACAGAGACAAACCACTCTCAGAGGAGCCCTGGTTTTGTTTAGGAACAAGCAGATGACTGTCTCCAAACGTGGGGCCAGGAACAAACCAGCTGATGTTGTTTGTAGGAGATACCAGGACCACAGCCCTGGAATGGGAGTCAGATTGCCCATAAAGCCAAGTGCCCCAGGGACAGCACCTGGAGTGCTTGTTTGGTGCTTCTGGAGTCTTTTGAGAATCAAACGTTGATTATAACTGGTTTCATATTCTTCTGAGGCACAGCACAGGAATGTGAGAATGAGCATTTAACTCTGCTCCTTCAACAGGTTCTCACGGAACAGAGTTCGTTTCCTGGAGAACCAGAGGATACAGCGGGAGCGGGAGGAGGTAATTAAGGATGAGCTCTTGAACTGCAGGACTGCAAACATTCTTTTTGCTCTTCCTCATGAAAAGCACACTTCTGATACATGCAGAATTTTGTTTTTTAGTTGAGAGGTACAGGAGACAACAGAGTGACACTACTCTTACTAATTTTTCTGAAGTCTCGCTTGCAGAATTTGATGCAAATTCATGTAACTAAAGTAGCAAATAATGTCAAATGTAAGAGGGAATCTTGGGCATGAAAAATGAGAGAGAGATTTATTCAAATGCTGATTTATTGCCTCTCCAGCTAAGCACAATGATCTGCCATGCAAAAAATGAGAAACCATAGGTTCTTTTCATTTGTTTCCTGTTAATGATCTAGAGACTGAAATACTGCTGTACTGTGAGAATTCACTTCTTCTATTGATTTTTTTCCTGAGTCAAAGCTTTTTCTGAATTGTGAATAATGGCTTGTAGCAAGTCTTTAATGACTGTCCTTTATTGATTGATAATTATGGTTGTTAATTATACTGCCCAAAGTAGTTTTGCACATGTTTCACCTTCTTGTAAGCCATAATTGTGCAGCCATTTGAGACTCAACATGAAAATGCATTGTGAATGCTGAAATACTGCTGACAATTATTTAAAAAAAGTAGAAGATGGTCTTGTTTTCCTTGAAAAGCCACTATTACTACATTCTGGTTATGTAGGTGGATGGTTTTGCTTGATGGATCCACTGTTGGGTTAGCTAATAATCCAAATGGTGCAGTCTGTGCATTTTTATATTATTAAGCAGACTCTGACTTTAAAATGCATCATCTTTTGTTTATTTATTTTTCATCTGGTGTTACCAAACCTGTATGATTCAAGCATATGGTTTTATAAAACCTTTGTTTTATAACAAGGCCTTTGGCTGGCTATGTTTTTAATTCCAACACATTCACAGGAGAAAGGAAGGGAGCTCTTTTTTATGGCCTAGGAAACATTATTGTGGTTTTGATTTTTTTTCTGTCCAAAAAGGGACTGGAAAAAATCAATCTCCTAAGTACATATCAAATCTCATTAACACGAGTAAGTAGCATGAAAGGAATTTTACAGGATTGGTGAGAAAATCAATATAAAACCTGTATCTAAACATTCAGAATGTCTTTATAGAATTGAGTCCTTTCTGTCTTCTGTTTCAGAGTTGGTTTTCTTTATTTTTTGCAATTGATCTTTTCTGAAATGCATATTTTTATTTCATTAGCTGCATTTCACACATACAGAGTCCCGATCTTCTCTTACACTTACTGATATTAAGATTTAAAAAGTTTATGTTTTGTGAAAACATCAAGTTGTTTAAAACTATGCAAGTTCCCTAAAAAAACCCGAAACACTGGGAAAAACCCCACATAACTTATTATTTTTCAAATGTTAAGATGTACAGGAAACAGCCATCTGCTCCCTCAAGTGATCTACTTGGCCTCTCCATAGATTCTCCATCTTCTGTGTCTGCAGTGGTGCAAAGGGACCCTGCAGTGTCTCCTTCAGGAGGTAAGTGGTGAAGGAAGTTCCGTTTCTCTCTGATTCCCTAAAACCCACAAGAGCTTAGTGGAGGAATCAAGAAGTTCCTTGTAAGCAAGATAAAAAAAGATACTCCTTAACTTTAAAGATGTTCCTTAAATTTTCTTAAAAGAAGAATTGATGTGTGTCTATAGGAATAAAATTGTAAAGTATTGCAAGGTTGCCTGTGATTTTTTTACAATAATCTTTCTCCCCTTATACATAGATTTGAGCAATGTTTTCTACTGCAGTGAGGCCTGTAAAACACTCTGGTAGCTGCTTCTTCTGTAGACTTGGCAGGAAGAAACAGTTTTTTCAGGAGTGTTAGACTTGGCTTTAAGTACCCTGATTTACTATTTGCAGAAGCCCCTCCTTTACCTGCTTTAGGAAACTCCATATACTAAAGCTAAAGGTGTGAATGTCCCCCTGGGAATAAACCCCCAGATTTTCATTTTAGTCCTTTACAAATAGCAACAAGAGTTTTAAGTGCTATCTATCATGTAGAGCTGTGCTGATGCTCTAAGTACAGAGATAAATACTTTGGATCTAAGACTTTTCAGAGTGATTAAAACTTTGCCTTTCACATGATGAACAGCAATCCATTTCAGGCGCTATACAGGCCTTCCAAAGAAAAAATTTACTCTTTTAGTGTTCAAAGTAGAAGTAGCTACTTTTGCATAATAATGTGTAAATTACCATTAATTATCACTTTGAATTTCAGATGGCCTATCCGCACACCCTGAAGACAAAACCAGGTCTCATCCATCAATTTACCCACAGCTGGATGCAGCAACTCCCAGAAAAGCTCATCAGTCCCCGTGAGTAGTCCCTTATCAAGGAATGGGAATGGATAACAGATCCTTAGGGGTATTAGTGCTCTGTAATTCATCTAATATAGGAATCTCTGAGGACACAGATTTACTTCTTTTACCTATTAGTCCAGTAAAGCAAGTGAAAATTCCCTCTGTGCTAGAGATTTTTTGAGAGGGTTCATAATGCACTTACGCCTGCATCACTATTTTGTCATAGGTAGATATAAATGTACCTGACTTTTGGCAGGGAAAGGGAGAAACATGAAACAGGTCAGGAGAAGAGTTCAGGACAGGGGAGGTGTCTTTATAATTAGTGTGCATGGGACACTGGTCCATCTGCCCATGCTGCTCTCAGTTGTGACACACAGGAAAGACAGACCAGCCAAAAAAATAATGGAACAATCAGAATAAACAGTTTTGATCGTTTCTTACTTATATTCATTGTATTGCTCTCTCCTAGATTTGCTGCTGAAGCACAAAACAATAGTTTAAGCAGCCCAGCTGGACACATATATAGCAATGTGAACACATACAGCAATGTGAGTAATACTTATGTTCAGGATGATCATTCTTGTCTGGCAGCTGTCAAATGAGAATTTCTGGATTTACACCCACTGCAAAGATGCAAAGATCTCTTCTGTGGCCCTTCTCCATACCTCAGGGAATATTCTACTTGGTAACCAGGTCAACTTCCCTCCTTTGCTGCCACAGGTCCTAATGTGGAATCTTGTTTCCTTGGGTCCAGCACAATTCCAGGGGAATTTGCAGAAAGCCCTTGCTCTATTATTTGTATTTAATTTGTTGCTATGCAAAGCAAGCTGAGTTCTCCTTCTGTTGCCATGATGTTACTCTGGTGTACTTTCTATCACAAATAAGATATTAAAAACAAACATACAAAAAACCCCAAAAACCTCAAAGCCCCCCCAAAAACACAGCCCACGAAAAAATCACTCAAACCCCAAGGACAGTGCAGGACAAATGTCATGCTGCAGAGAAACACCCATGGCAGAAGGAGTGGAAAGAGCCTGAAGGGACTTTGAGGTAATGTTATGAAGGCAGTATGAAATAGAAAAGAAGCAGCTACCAAACAAACATGCACAGTCTTTATTTCAAACTGCAAATAAAAGCAGATGTTTGAATCTGTGTGGTGGAACAAGTCACACAGAAGTAAATTATACACATGTGCTGTATATATATATATAGAACACTAAATGTTGCTTTGAAGGTTGTGTGGAGAATGAAGATTAATTGGGTTGCTAACTGTTGGCCTTGGAATTTTCCCTGCAGTAGTCAGGGAGTTTAAAGATAAGCCAGCAATTAATGTAAGTTAGGTCAAACCAGTCCTCATAGAACAATCTGTTTATGCATTGTTTTTTGATGTCCTCAGCTGACGAGTCTTCTAAGCCCAGTGCCTCTGAACCCAATAAATGTGCAGGCTGGACAGACTGTGCCATCAAATGGACCATCACCAGCAGGTAATAAATACTGCAAATCACCTCCTGCATGCTTCCTTTTCTTGTTAGAACTTAAGGCCTTTACATAATGGCTGTCAGTGACTAGGAACAGCAACATTGTCAAAGTCATATTGCACATGGATTCCATTACACATCTGTCCATTTTAGCATGTAAAGCAGCTCAATCCGTAGCAGATAATGTGCCACTTTCAGGAAGACACAAAAAATGTGTAGGAATCATGCTTTTCATTATCATTTAAATCTGGATATGTCTGTCTCTTTATTCTTCAGCTACATCAAAGAACAAGTCACAGTCACCTCATTACTATGAGATAATGGAATTCGATCCCTTGGCTCCCACTGAGTAAGTAACTTTTGAAATAGAATTTTAAATTCTGTGTTACCAAAGGCAAAATGGCTTTTTCTTCTGAGAGGAAAACCAGACCACTCTACTTAAGCTAACTGACCAGCTGCATCATTGATGTACATACATTTTGTATTTTTCTTCAAATAATTCTGGCATAACCAATTAATGAATAAAATGTAGTGTGCTCATTAACTGGCATCTGCAAAAATGGAAGAGTAATGATCTATCAAAATTACTAAAATCTTATCCAGTGATACAGAAAGGTGAAGGAAATATAGTCAGGGTCCTGCTGAAGGAAGCTGATTGAACTTCAGCACAGGTAGTTCTGGAACAAGATAACCAAAGGAATTCCTGTTCATAGCAATTGTGTTTTTTAAAGGTTGTTTTTCTACTGCATATGAAAAAAATCCTTAATTTAAATATAAACTACAAATGGGAATAGATGCTGTGTCACTCCAGAAGGCCAAAATAGTGAGACAGCAAACTAATACAAAACCTAAAATTTAAAAAAAATTAAATAAAAAATAAAACATAAAAAAATAAATTAAAATAAAATGGCAGAACTCCCCTTTTGAACAGTAAATTGCAAAAAGAAAAAAAAAATTGAGCTATCTGTACAAAACTTATTTCTAAGGAGCCATTGTATTTTGAGGTAGGGAAATCTCAACAAAGCTTCCATTGTTTTTTTTTAATTAATACAGTAATTGCACAGTGGTGCACTTGCCATTTGTGTTTTGCAGTTCTGTTCCCAATCTTGTTTGATCAAAAGTGACAGTATCCAAGGTTCCTCATTAAATGTACTATCAGATAATCAGAGCTGGGTTGGCTCTTTGTTTCCATGGAAACCTGGGCATCCTGCAAGGGAAGCTACACTGTAAACTTTGGGCAGGATTTCCCTGGAGCCATTTGTCAAAATGAAATGTGTTGTAGCAGTCACCCTACTTCTATTTCAGAGCTATTTATGAAGAAATTGATGTTGTGCTGAAGACAGAAGTTAAAAAGAACACAGACTGAAGGTGGAGGTGGAATCCTTTCCTGAACACTCTCTAGTGCTGGTCCTGTGCAGTGCTTCCTGTAACTACAAGTGAATAACAGAAGAGGTTTTGCATTTTGACACAGTAATTAGTGTTGGAGTACTAAGCTGTGTGCAAGTAGAAGAGTTACTTGGCTCCACACCATGACAATTTGTCCTAAATGTTCAGCTGTGTGTTCTCTAAGGTCACTTGCATTGTTATTTTAAAGTATTTTGGGTGCCTGTAGAATGTGACTTCCAAATTTCACCTGTGAATGAAGTAAGACTTGACACCTGCCACTTGTAAAAAAAGACACATGACATTCACAGAAGCTGCAGAATCCAGTTTCTCTTTGGCCTCACCATTATGTTCATCTCCCTAGAAATCTATCAGGGCGTTTTGAGATATTTTTTCCCAAAAAATTAATCTGAAGTCTGAAGATGTGCAGTGTTACTTGCCTACATCCTTAATACAGATTTTCCTTTATTATTTTCTTCCTAAAAACCCACAGAATAGTTGGATTTTTGTCTTGGGAAGAACCTAAGCTGGGACACAAAGTGCTGTCATCAGTAATTAACAGAACAGGAAAAAACCCTGCTTGTTCCTGTGTTGTTGTTGTTGCTTTTCTTTACAGAGTAAATATTGGAGGGGGATCAATTGTTTCTTTCAATATTCCTGCCCTGCAGAGATTCTTCTGGTGAAGGAAAAATTAATTATCTACAATGCAGATGAGCAATAGTTACCCATTTACTTTAATTAAGTTGTTTAATCCTGTTAATAACCGTTTTATCTTTTAGTAAGTGCCTTATCTATTTTAATGCTGAATGTAAACTGTGCACTTTAACAGGTATAGTTCTCTGAATTTATAGCTGATACAAAATTTGAGAACTTAGTTCATATTCATACCAGATAAGCTATTTTTTTGTGAAATAACTGCATTTTAAACATTCCTTATGTTAACTGTTTAAGGATAAGAAGTTCTCAGCTGCTTTTGCAATTTTTATAGCATAAAATTCCAAATAAAAGCAAATGCTTACTGAGAAAGTAAACTCTTATTGCTTCCAAGTGTTTCTCTATTTGTGTATTCCCTAAAATATAAATGTAGGTAGCATTGGAAGTATTTTAGTGTGAAACTAAGCCGTTTACTGCAGGACCATTAGAACAACTTCCTTCTATCCAAAACACAGCCTTGAAGGAGTGTGGGAATTTTGTAAGTTGAGGTGAAAAGGTGAGTTGCTTTACTCTCTTTTTTTCTTGCAAATTTGCAGTGGTCTGGACAGCAGCCTGAGAAAACAGCTGAAAATAGGATTGGAGGTGGATTGATTTTATTTTTTCCCCCTACAGCTGGGCTGTATTGGCAGAACCCCCACAGTGAAGGGTAACAAATCAAACTGGGCTGCTGCAGTGTAATCCATAATGGGCGATTGCTGACAGAACCTCTCCATGTTTAAACAAGCACAATGATCACAGAGATGGAAGGGAATTGGCTAATTACCAAGGTTAGAGCCTGTATTATAGAATGTGCTCAGTATCTGTGCAAATTTGGGCTTTCAAACTCAGGCAGAGAACCCACGTATTTATGGAACTGCCACTTGCCTGGGGATACTCTTTTTCTTCTAAAAAATGTGGCCAGAATAAAGCAATGGGTGGAGAACTGCCATATTCAGTTCAGCTTTCAGAAGGACAATGGACTAAAGACAACTGAGGTAAGAAGTTGGGCTTTTTTTCCCCTAGCCTGGATTCAAAGATTTGTCTTGATGTTACTTTTTTTTTTTCCCTAAAGCATACTGGAATTATAAAGCTTGCTGCTATCTTCATACAGATATATTTCACTTGTGTGGGCTCCACATGTTCTGCTGATTAAAATGCATTAGAGAGATGAAAGAATGAAGTTTTCCATCTTTAATATACAGTAAAGACCTGTATGTCATTCAAAATCTGTTTAACCAACACAAGTAATTGGTACAATAATGGATTTTAAAGGTAGCATCCACTTATTTTCAAAAAAGCAGTTTTTGAGTTACTGTATGCAAATATAGTTGAGACTTAAGTAACTAGAAATTATTTCTGAAGTACCATTGCCTTTTCAGAGTCCAAGCTAACCAACATCACCCTTACTTTGTTAGATCTTCTCTGCTGGAAGGCGTAGAGACGTGACCCAGCAGAAGAGATACTGGCTGCTATTTTCTGTCTGAAAATGAGCAGGTTAGTTAAACTTGCTCTGCAGCTTGCTCCTGGTTTGCAAGGCAGTGATGAAGTGTTATTAGACCTACTGCACAGATAATGCCCAAAAGTTCCATAACCACCACTTGCACGTTCTGCTGGGGAACAGTTCCCCTGGAGAGCTGCTGCACTGCTGGGCAGGCTCAGGCCAGCTCAGCCTGAATGGGCTGCTCTTGGTTTTTGAGGAGACACCTGTGCTGTTCCTTCAGTGCAATTCAGAGCAGCTCTTACACCCTGCCCTGCACTCAAAGCATGTCAGACACAAGCCAAGCTTGTCTCTTGTGGAGGTGCCCAGTGTAGAGCCCTCTGCAGAGCAAAGTGCACTCAACACCAGTACAGATACTTCCCATGAGTGGGACACAACACAGAAATAAATGGTGTTTCCAAATGAAAACCATCCCACAGATCTGATATGCTTACACTTAAATTACTGTTCTCATGATAATAGCTTTAGAGCAGTCTGCTCTTACCAAATGAACTACTGATTCAGTAATAACATGGGAGTGCATCACCTTCTGAATCATCTTCCCCTCCTGTGCCAGGGAGGCTTACACAGAAATAACAGTCTAACTGTTTAGTTATAAGATTACCTTAATTTATCATCTGGGTTTACCTTTTTCTAAATTAACTTAACATGGAAGTTATTTTCCAGAGTCAGCAATGGAATTTTAGATGCTTTATCAACTGATTTTTTTCTTCTGTATTTAAAAGATCTTCATTTACACGTTGGTTTAAAAATTTGCCTTGTGGTATTCAAATAAAAAGATGGCCTGAGAAAACCCTCTCTACTTCAAGAACAGTGTGTTCCCTTCCACTGTCTGATGAACAAATACTATCCATAAGAAATGGAGATACATTAAGTTGGTTTCCAAAAAAAAATATATATATATACATATACTTTAATAACAGGATGTGCCCATGGAGGTTTAATAAGATAATTTCATACTGCACAGTACTCCTGCAGTTTTTTCTTCCAAGGAAGAATGACATCAAAACTGGCACTGAGATGTAGCAGAAATCAGATTTTGTAGAGAAGGCCTGTTACTGATACCCAGGAAGTGGCAACTTCTGTCCTTCCTTTGCTTCAAAGAAGGTGTAAGAGAGAGTGATCAAATCAACTTTAGCCATTTTAGGGTCCTCTGCAAACTCTGGGTCAATGTAGAAAAAGACAGGCATGTCCACTTCCTCCTGAGGATTTAGCCTCTGTTCTTCAAAACAAAAACACTGCAGGTGGGAGGAAAAAAAAATCCACAATTAGACAACAATAGTGATGACAAATTTTATCTCTGCCAACATGAGAGAAATCTTAATGGTTTCAAATAAACTCTCATTCCCTTTACACCCCTAAAATCCTGGGAAGGATCAATAAGATGAGCAACAAGATAGCAATTTTGTTAGTGTGGTGATATAGGAAAAAAAAAATATTAGCTTTTAATGAAGTGTGTAAAGGTGTCAAGGGGCCAGGCCAGCTCACATCATTCTGCCTGCCCTCAGAGTGGTGATAACAACAGATTTTGGAGCCACTCTGATGGGATGAGCAGCTTGGTGTGAGGGCAGTAAAGCTAAGAATGAATTGATGCACTTTATCATTTGGAAAAAAAAGGTGTTTTCTTAAAATGCTGGCATATGAAGAATGTTGTCCAGGATTAAAATGCAATTTATGGGTAACCATTTTCTTTTATGTAAAGGAAAATGCAATCTTTGCTTTGTTCACACTTACTTGTATTTTATTGAAATACTGTCCTGCTTCAAAGGGGACAACGTTGTAGGTGGAGATTCCAATTATTGGTTTGTCAGTAGGATTTTTTGCTTTATAAAATGCCAGTGCAGTCTCTCCTGGTACCACCTGTATAACATAATTGTACAGTGATTTTCTTTTTTTTTTAATTCACTGCAGCCCTCCACCCCTCAAACCAAGTTATTTAGACTTTATCTAGAATTAATTTTCTCTATTACTGTTTCAAATTGGTTATTTCACATATATTTTTGATTACATGCAATTTACCTATATTCAAAATTAAAAGCTTCAATACTGTTCTGTGTATTTTTAATCTTACCCATTTTGCCTGAGTCTTCTATTATCCTCAGCAGTTCAACAGCACACAGAGCATTTTTAATATGCTGATTTAGATATGGTGTGCATTTAATTTCTGAGGTTATTCTTTCAGTACTGGACTCAGAAACTATTACGAAGCACAACTCCTTATTTTGAGAACTAATTTGAAACAGAAAAGTTAATTTGTGATTTTTTTAAATAGTAAGAAAAAGTTCCTATAAGGACAGGGCAATAGGAGAAACAGTACAGATTTAGATATACTGTTATACTGTATATTTTTAAGTATATATGTATATATACACGCACACTTTTATGGTGTATGTACAATGTGCATGTGATGTATATACCATAAAGTATATACATAACTATAGTTTCAATAACTTTCCATAGTTTAATGGGGTGGCAGAGGGACAGCTACACACAATGTCCTGTAAAAAGGACATTGCTGTGCTGGAGCATGTCCAGCAAAGGGCAACAAAGCTGGTGGAAGTTCTAGAGAACACGTCTGGGGTTGTTCAGTCTCAAAGCAGAGGAGGCTCTAGTGGAACATGACTGCTCTCTGGAACTACTGCCAACAGGAGCTGGGGATCAGCCCCTCTGCCCTGCCTGCGCTGAGAGCACCGAGGAAACGGCCTTGGGATGAGACAGAGGAGACTGCCATTAGACATTAGAAACATTTTCCACTGTTGGTGTAATCAGCTTTGGAAAGGGCTGCCCAGGGAGGTGGTGGAGTGCCCATCCCTCGAGCTGCTCAAGGGGATCCGGACCTGCTGTGGGTGCTGTTTTGTGGCTGCAGTGACCCTAAAGGCCTCTCCCAGCCGTGACCGCGGCTCCGCGCGGGGGGAAGGCGGCGACTCACGTAGATCTCGCTCTGCTGCGGTTTGAAGTTCCACTGGATGCTGGCGTGCGTGTCGGCGTTGAACGTGACCCTGATGAGCCGGTCCCGCACGGGCTCCATGCGCTCGATCTGCTCCGCGCCGCGCCCCGTGCCCGCCGTCCCGCCGAGCCCCGTGGCCTGTCAGGGAAGGGCAGTGAGGGCCCCGCGCCCGCGGAACCGGCGCCGGCCGCGGGCCCCCCGTACCTGGCAGTAGAGGCGGTAGAGCGGCACGGCCGCGTACGACAGCCCCACCATGCCCACGGCCGCCGCCGCGATGTAGCCCACGGCCGAGCGGTTCCGGCGGCGCCACTCCTCCTCCTGCTGCCGGGTGAAGGGGTTGGAGCCCCGCACGCCGCGGGCCCCGCAGAGCCCGGGCCGCGGCAAGGCCCCGAGCCGCAGCCCGCGGGCACAGCGCGCCCAGCCCCGCCCGCACAGCGCCATGGCCGCAGCGCGAGGGCTTTCGGGACGGGCGGCCGGGGAACGGGGAGGGAATAGGGCGGGACGGGGGTGGGAACAGGGCAGGAGAAGAGGAGGAGAAAGAGGGAAGGTAGAGGGCGGGGGCGGGCCGAGCCGCCATCGCATCCTTGCCTTCTGCGCCCCCTCAGAGCGCATTGAGTGAGGGGGTCCCGGCGGAGCCGCCCCCTCCTCGCCCGGCAGCGGGACGGCTCGGGCGCAGGTTGTGTACGAGGTAACTGGAGTAGCCCACAGGCCGGCGGGGTTCCGCGGCTCCGGTCCCGCACCGGCTGGGCTGTGCTGGACGGGAGTGGCACCGAAAGACCACCGGGAGCGGCGGTGTTCCCGCAGGTTCACCGCTCCGGAGGTGCCTGGTACCGCAGGGATCACCCGGCTCCCGCAGGTATCTGGTTGTCCCTCAGGTATCTGGGTGTCCCTCAGGTGGCTCCGCGCTGGCGGACGCTGGGTGCGGGGCTGCTCCGGGTGGTCCTTCCGGGGCCTGCAGTTTCTCCCCTTTTGTAGACACTTAACACGTTGTTTTGTTTGTTCCTTCGGTGCTCTGCTTCTCGTTATTTTCATTTCTAGGGATTTGGTTTTGTTCAGGCAGAGTGCGGGGCTGCTCCGGGTGGTCCTTCCGGGGCCTGCAGTTTCTCCCTTTTGTAGACACTTAACACTCGTTATTTTGTTTGTTCCTTTTTTTTTTTTTCCCCCTCCGGTGCTCTGCTTCTCGTTATTTTCATTTCTAGGGATTTGGTTTTGTTCAGGCAGAGATACTGACACTCTGCAAAGGTAGCGAGCGCTGTTAGTAAACAGCAGTAACCTGAGGACGGGCAAAGTGGGGCAAGTTCACAAACAATAGTTTTTCACACGCACTGTAATAAACTTTGCTGTAGCATTACTTGTATTTACTGCTTTAGAGCTATGTACCTCTTCTGTGGTGGTTCCAGTAAGGTGAATTACACAAAGACTGGCAGCTCCTGGTACTTCATTTTCCATATTGAATAAGAGAATGATACAGGCTCAGTGTAGCCATACTGTGTTATTTCCCCTGTCTTCAGATGATTTTTTGGCTCTTCAGTGAGCAAAACCTGAAAATGTTTGCTGCAGGAGCATTTGTGGCATTCCAGCGTGGATTTAACATCTTTTTCACCCAAGAAGTACAGACATGCAGGAATTGGAGTGGTTTTGTGGAGGCTCACACTGCACCTGGGGGTTCTGCTGTATCTTGGCCAGGGTCTGTGGGGTGACATTGGTGCCAGGAGCACCTGAACTGGCTTTGCTTTGTGTTGGGAGAGTTCCTTGCCCCTCTTGTTTTGGAAATAATTCCTGTTCTGGGTTGTGGCATGTGAGGGTTCAGCCGTGCACCGCACAAGGTCAGGAAGATTTCCTGCTGCTGATACAAATGGATATTTTTTGCATTAATGCTTTTTTAGCAGTTTATGAAATTATTGTAGTTCAGTACATCTGGGGTTGTGTTTCCTGTCAACCTGTTGTATGTACTAATAGAAATACAGTGTGAATTTCTGGAGGCTTTTGCTACATTAGTGGTATGTAAACTCATTTTGTGTGTTTTGGCCTGTTCCATGTACATTGTGTGAGAAGTTCAGAGACACTAAATACCAGAGAGTAAGTAAAAAAAAAAAAAAAACCATGAGACAACAAGACACACAAAACACCATTCCCTTTCCAAGTAACTTTAAATGAAAAAAAAACCAAAAGAATTGTCTTTGCCTTTAGCACTTATGTTACATAATCCTAGAATTGTAATCTGTTTTTTTTTCCTATTTTAGAAGATTTTGATCCTGGGTAGAAGCCTCTTCTTCATATGTCAGAACTCTTCCTTTGAACTTTTATTTTAGTAGTGCTTCTAAGAAGATGTCCAGTGCAGATCCCCTCACAAATACAGAGAAGGAGTAAGTACTTTTTTTCCCTAGATGCAGAAATACAATTGATGGATTATAATATTAAAATTTTTGCCGTGTCATTAGTCTTGATGAAGACTTAAAGAAAAATAACTTGCATATTAAAGCAGTCTGCAGTAACACTGTAGGAAAGTTGACACCAACACCAGTGAATTTACACTTTAAGGGAGGAATTGTCCCTTAAGCTTTTCATTAATTTAATCTGCACTTGGTTAGAACTAGTTTTGTAGAGATAAAATCCTGCATAGAGATTTCTTAATCTGTTGCTTCTGAACTATGAAAACATACTTGCATATAGTGGATAACATCTGGGGTACCTGCAGTAGCATAAGACTGGGGGTTTTGTATTACAGTGCATTAGTTTTTCAGAATACTCTGTCTCTATGCCTTTAATATTTTATATGTAGTACTTAGGAACCATCATATTTTTACCAGTGTCACAGGATATAAAAAAATATGTTCATTCTAAGAAACATAGTCTTATCCACTAAGAGTTGGATCACATTCTAAATGTCAAACATGGATTCAGTCATGATTGAAAAGTGTAACTCCAGACCCTCTCCAAATTGCCAAATAACCATGCCAATGCTGTCATCAAAACCAGAATTAAAACCAGGCACAGGCAGCTCTTGCTGGACTTACCATGTTTGCTGTACTTGTGCAATAGAATCCAGCAAAGAGTATTCAGAAGAAAAATAAAAAAAATTAACATAGATTTAGAATTATGCCACCTCTTAAATAACTTGATGGGTTAGAAAAGAAAAACCACAGAACATTAAAAAAGCTAACTTGCTTTTTACTGGGACCTGGAGAAGCCAAAACTCTGCTTGTCTGATGGAAATTCAGGGTGTGTGATCTCAAAGATACATCTTTCAGACAGCTGTGGCTTGCTAGAGTCATGTGAAAGATGAGTAGTTTTTAGCTCACTGTATTCCAAAGTTGATTTTTCACATTAGAGATGAACAGGAAAGGCACCTAAAACTGCACTTCAGCTGCATGCTGATGGCAGGCTGTAATTTTCTGTACTTTTATTTCTTGTAGGAGATGATGCTTCCCAGAATGGACTTGGTTATATGTTAACTGAGGTTTACCTGAACTTTAAATCATACCTTTCTTCTCTGTGCAGGGGCTTAGCCTCAAACCATTCATGCTTCTCCAAAATTACAATGTTGCCCAAGCTTTTTTTAGGCTTAACAGTTGCTGTATAATGACTTATGTTTTCTTTTAAACTTTATAGCCTAATCAGCAGAATGTATTTTGAATAATGAGTGGGTTTGGATGGATCACATCGAGTGCTCATCCATGCTGTATGATACAGCATTCCTTTGCCCACGGTCCTTAAAATCTGAATTTGAGGTTGGTGAAGCTGAAAAGCTACAGTAGTATAATGGATTTGTATAGGATTTTTGTGGAAGGCCTTTGGTTTATTCATAACAAAAAAGATGTTGTGAATCGAACTTCCAAAGATTCTGCAGATCTTTTTGTCATCTTCTAAATTATCATGTAATCCATTTCAGTTGCTAAAGCATTGCAAAACTTCCCTTGGGAAAAACAAGTTGTAATTACAAATGTTGCCAGAATGGAATAGTTTCCCAGCTGCTTGGAAATTAATCTTATTTAACAACAAATAACAACTCTTGAAGATTTAGTCTTACTTATTTATACTAAATTTCATGGAGTTTTGAGTTGCAATTTTCCTAGATCTTTCTGGAAGTAAAAAGTAATTTGTGTTTCTCTGAGCCCATGCTTGAAAGGCAGAGCACTTGCAAGAGAAGCAGTAATGCTGTCATTCATTAAAAGCAGCACAGCAACAGAATTTGAAGGTAAAGAGGGATAGAAGCCTTGGGGATGAGTTCAGGAAGCTGAACAAAGCACAGTTTACTTGGAAGGAGTGGAGGAACAATCTTCTCAACAAGTCATGTATTACTGGTAATAACTCTAATGAGATGAGAGCAATAAGGGTAATACTACTTTATATCTGCTTAAATTGTGTAGAAGTTTGTCATGTCTGGTTTAATCAAAATAACTTTTTCCTCTTTAACAAGGAAATTGGAGAGCCTTGAGCAAAAGGTGGATTTCTATAGCAGAAAATGTGACACTGGTTAGTCTGAGTGATGTATTTTGACAGATGCTCCTGATATTGATGCCACAAATTGAACTCCACTGGTGTTAAGTTGTTAATAAAACAGAGGTTGTTTTATTGGAGAAAATCTATTGGTACTTTATCTTCTGTAACCTTGCCTAGAGCAAATCTAATTGATATGAGACTTAAAATATCAGTGGCTTTTCTGTAATGCTGGTAACAGCAGCAGAGTGAGCTGACTGAGGAAATGCTGCAAAGGGGCAAATTTTAATCTCTGGATGGATGTGATCACTGTGCCAGTGGGCCTTCTCACTATTTGGGAACTAGGAAGGCTGCTTTATGTTCCCATTTCCATCTCTGATCTGCTCCTTAATCTGTGGTGGGTCACTCTGCCCCTTCTTTGTGTGTGTTGGAGGCTTTCAGGACTGACCACTCTCTATGAACACTGTTCAGCATGTTGTCTCTCAGCAAAGGGATCCTTTCTCTAGAAGGATTATTTGCTAATGAAACCACAGTCACTGCAGCTTTAAAAAAAAAAAAAAGATGCCTGAGATAAGCTTTTGCATTCCTGGCATAGCCGAGCCCTCCTGCTGCACCTCCAGACCTGACAGATGCTGTCTGATCACAGGGTTGCTCCTGGCTAGAGAGGATTCACCTTTCTACTTAAAGCCCTCAGTGAACACAGGGTAGTAGGCTTTCATTTCAAGCTGAAGTCTTGTTATGATCTTTTGAGAGAGGGGGAGTAGTAGGGGTACTTCTGAGGCAAGCCTGGAAGGAAACATTCATTAACCAAACTGGTGTCAATGCTCAGAATTTCTGAAAATGTGCATCTCTCTGCAAGATCGAGTATCCTATCACAGGATCTGACCTCTGGGAAAGGGGTGATACATTTGACTTCTTAAACTACATTATTCCCAGGGTAATGACATAAATTTGACAGTTTTGTCATCAAAGTACATGTCAGCTTACATTTCTAGAGAAAATAAATAACCCGGGTTCTGTGTTGATTTTTGACCACTGTATCTTGAAAGTCTAAAAATCAAGTTAGATCATGGTACAAGCCAGTCCCATGATTGAGAATGAAAAGTAATAGCATAATGGCATTTGTTTCATTAATGCTCCCTGTCTGCTTTGTTGGCTTTCCATTTTGTGTGGCTGTGCATAATGCAGTCTGCTAGGAAGATTGCTTTAGAAAGGTCATGAGTTACTGCTTTTGACCTTGTTTGCAGGGAGCATGTAAATAAATTATTAGAAGAACAGGAGGAAATAAGTTGCTTTTAATCATTGCATTTGCCTTTGGCTGCTGGGTCTAGGTTGCTTAATCACAGTGGTGTAAATTTTCCCCTTTGCATTTATCAGTCTTTAAAGTTGCTCTAAATGGCCATTTCAAAGAGAAAAAGTAAGCATTACCTCTCTAGGTGAATTAGTGCGTGTGACGCAGAGGCTTTCAGAGGAGATTAAGTAGGCAGAACGCTCAGCTGGAGCTCTGTGTTTGGGTTTTTTAGTTGTTAGCAGAAATCATCCTGCTCACAACCTTTATCCAGCTGAACTGGGAACCTCCAGTGTGTTTTGGTTGCCTTGTCCTTGTTTTTCCTGCTGTGCTGAAGGATGTCCTTGCTTTCTCCAGGGGCTGAAGATGAACCAGAGCGTTTTGATGGTCTCTCTCTCTTATACTGGTATGCTGAACCATTCAGTTCTGAGGGCATTGCTCTAGTCTGTAATTGGGCAAAGTACAGGAAAGATCATTTAAAAGCTGATAATTTTCAGCTTCTTTTCATCAACAGCCAGAGTTTATAATTTAGATTTTTGTGTGTCAAGTGATACGTGTTTTGTGAGTAAAGTGTATTATTCTCCCGTTGATAAACATAGGTAAATGTTTTCTTTGTGCACATAAATGATTATTAACTTCTCAGGAATAGAGAACAGAAGAATATCTGGAGCTGTATGTTCTGATAAGTACTAAAAGAAATAAACCCCAAAGTTGTTGAACTTCTTTGTGTATGCTGCTAAAAAGTAATAGAAGCAGGTTCATTTTAATTGCCCTTACTGCAGCATTTACATGAAATGTTGCACACTTAGTCTGTTAGCATTCCAGGACTTCAGCTGGAGTGTTGAGTTTAGTATTTTTTAGTATAAGAAGGTTATAGTGTACGTTTTGGTGAGTTTTACTTGTTTATTTCATCTCTTGTCTCGCATCTTCTCTATGTGCTAAAACCTCCCTTACAGGTACTTTTGCCTGACCTCAAAAAATGAGTAGCAACATCAGATTATTTAACTTTCATCTTTTTTCTGCAAAAATCATCGAATTTTTTTGTTACTACTGTCAACTGGTTTAGAAGGCTGTTTCCTTATTTATACTGTTAAGCATGATTCTAAAGCTCTGGGAGAAATATTCTAACATTTCACGAATACTGAAATTGATGACATAAAATAAATGTTGGATGGTTGCTCAATCCAAGTCATTTTACAGTGAAATTGTTAAAGCTCTGTTTATTTTATGACTATGACAAGTAGCTTGACTTGAAGACCTATGTTATATGGGAAAAAATCCCCTAATACTGAAAGTCAACTAGATGTGATATGTTTAACAAATTTGGGGCGTTTGAAAATCTTTGTCTTTACTTTTATGTGATAAAATAAATTTTAAACTGCATGTATTGGAGAGGTTTAAACAGACCGGAGTAAAAGTTGTAAAAGTTGTCTGTCCAAAGTGTCAGCTCTTTCTAATTGTAGGTGGCAGCATCACAATTCCAGTGTTTCAGAGATATCTTACTCCTCTCCACTGACTAAAAATAATGATTAGTTGTGTGTTCTCTGTGTCCTCTTTGTCAGAATCCATTATAGTTTCGTTAGCATCTCTCTTTTGAAAGTATTGCCAGTTACTTCTGGAAATGTAGATACTTTCCTATTAATTGTCCTGTTCTTAGATTTGATCATATTTCATTATTTTATATGCTAGTATATAAAGAGGTTCTACAATTTCTGGCAAACTCTAAACTTCAGACTTAAAGTCTGAGATTTGATCTTTTCAGATTTTGTGAAAGTAAAACCTCAGTGTCGGTTTGTGCAAGGCTGAGGTAACTTTTGTTCTTGCTTTTTAATTTTAACAAAAAAACTGCCATGTGAAAACTGCTGAGAGGGAATGGCAGAGCAAAACCAATAGCAGTAGTTCAAAAGGCAAGAGAGAAAAAAATTGAATAATTGCCTATTTTAAAGATCAGTGTACCTTGTTTAAGATTTCAGAGACTGAGACAAGTCAGGACAAAGCATGACTAGGATGCTGTCCTTCAGCCTCAGAACAAATTTGTGGGATAATTGCAGTGACAGTACTGGGTAGTAATGCAAGATACTTTGTTCTTGTCAAGGAGTAGGAGGTTGTCCAAAGGATATTTTTAAAGAAATGTTGGGCTTGGGGATTTGTTCTTCCTTTCAGGCTGTGATTAAGTAAAAGCAGTTTGGTTCACTTTTAGCCCTACAAAGGATACCTTATGCCCTGACATGTCATGGTATGGTCATGTGCAGTCCTGTCAAACACACACCAAATACACTGGGTTTTGTTATTTCTTTTTAGCTTGTGAAACAGGCTAAAATAAGAAACACGACAGTGAAAATTATATAGTGCTTGAAGCATAGGTTTACTTTTGTTTCTAAAGGTTATTAGAATTATTAGGTCTCTTCTTGTGGCCGGCCTTTCTAAAGCAAAAGCTAATTTTGCAAATACTTGGAAATAGGAGGTTTTGGGAAATTGTTGCTTTTCAGAGCTAGTGCTTATCCTTCAATAAAAAAATCCCATTCAGTTTTCTTCTAAAAACCAAAAGAACAGCAGATGTTTAGAAGCCAGATCTCTTGGCCAGTGCTAGAATTTTTAGAACATTTGAAACTTCTGGACTTCTGTCTTCCTTCTGGCACAGCACCTTTTAATGATGTACTCTGGCTTTTGCAGATGTACCCAGTTTCAGGCATAGAGTTCAGGCTGTGTGCTGGATTAGGTTGTGTGGAAGGATTTGGGTCACTGTGTCCTCCACTTTGATCTTCTTTCCCACCCTGCTAATGAATTCTTGTTGTTCCATTTCACTAGGACCCTCTAGAAAATACAGCTCTCTCTCTAATGTAGCACAATATGTAGGTCAAAGCAGAAAAACCTCTGTGGTTCTTTTGCTCTTTTCTAGAAGAGATCTGCTGGGTCTTCTCCAGAAATGTTGCAGTGAAAGGACAGAGGACGTATAATATAACTAACATTTTTTTTACCCATAATTCATCTACATGAAAATAAAACCTGGTAAAGGGTAATCTGGATTTATTTCCATTCTTAATACTCTGCGTTCTCAGAGCAGTGTGCTGGTCATGGGTCTGATGAAACTGTAAATTCAGGTTTCAAAGCTCTAATTTTACTTTGTATTCTTTTAAAATGCTGTTTCATGATCAACTGCCATCAAAATATTTCTCTGCCTTTAGACAATTCCAAGTGCCATCCTGTTATTTTCCCTTGGGGTGGGAAGGTACACAGAGGATCAGGCAAAAGAGTTTGGAAAGAAACCTTTTTTACAACAGAGAAAGAAATCAATGTTGAGTGAAGAAATTAGGAGATTTGGGAAAATATTATGTCCATAAATATAAAAAATTATATTTTAGATATCTTAGGAAATAATTTCATGCACTGGCTTAGGTGTGCTTTTGTTCAAATATTCATTACCTAATGAAAACTGGTGTTTTTCTTGCCTAAAGGTAAGAAAAGGTGGACCAGCTTGTGGAATTTTTTTTGTATTTAATCACAATCTTTTTATTACACAAAGTGGGATTCACAGTTCAAAGCCTGAAGTGCTTTGGGGGAAAAGGAAGTAAATTCTGTATATTTATTGTACCTTTGCATCTGATATTTGTGATGAACAGATTGAGTTTTGGCTGGGGAGATGGTGGCTTCGAGATACCAAACAGTATGAAGTTGTCAGTGGAGAAAGTTGGTTTGGGTTTGTATTTGAGTTGAAAACACAGTCACTGTCATTTATTTTCTGTTAATATAGCTCTGTCTCATTTCTGTAACTTAATTCCTTTTATTTTATTCCATAGGACCATCATGGGCCCTCATGGAATTAATCGAGCTGTTCACCGCATCTCTTTCTCCGATTGCCAGAATGGATTAGGTAACTGAGATTGCACCTTCTGTTATTCTGAGTAAATCAAACCTAAAAACACATTTGCCAGCTCATACCTGGCATCAGGAAAGTTTATTTGGCTTTCATGGATTTGACTGCAAATACATTTAGCACAATAGAATAACCAATTCCAACCACAGGTGGAATAACCAGTTTTTCACTTTTGTCTTTTTGTTTGTTGTTCAGGAGTTAAAATTATTGGAGGTTATCGGGCACAAACAGCAGAAGATTATGGGATTTTCATAAAGAGAATTCTACCTGGGGGGGTGGCTGCCGTAGATAGTAAGTAATTTTAACTTTTTTGGCTACAAATACACTGCATATAAAAAGCTGTCAGAAGAAGTCTTTATTTTACTTTGTGGGTAAGGATATTTAAAATAGTATGGTTTAGTCAGGTTCTCTGAGGTTTTAGTTTACTTTAATATAGTAAAACTTTAAGACTGTAAAATATAAATTCTAGTCTCAAAAATATTTATGCTGTGTGTAAATAATACAAATAGCTAAATGACAGTTAGTTTTACTGGCTGTTCTGTTGTTAGTAAGACTGATTATAGGTTCTAGTCTTATCTCAATTATCTGTCTTACTTAAGATCAGGTGCCAGGAGTCATAAAGTTGTTTAATGCATTAAGTCACATAAAATTGAAAGGAAAAGTCCTGGGTTAATACCTGGTTTTATACAATATGTTCACCATTTTCTTGTTGGTTCATCAGTCACTGTTGGTTTCATTTAAAGGCCGTTTGCTCACTGGGGACCTAATTCTGGATGTCAATGGAGAAAACCTGGTTGGAGTAACAAATGAAAGGTACTGATTCCTGAATGTTCATTGGAGCTTGGAATGTTATACATGGATTCTTTTGGACACTGTCAGTGACTTGAAGAGCACAGCTCCCATGAGATCTTTGGAGTTCAACTCACAAGTAATTTGTCCTGTAAATCTAATTCAGCAAAACTGTTGTAGAAAAGTGAAGGACTTTATATGCTTCTGTAACAGCAGAATCAGCTGGTTTCTTAATGACACAGATTACAGAATGTGTGTGAAAAGAGCAGTAGAAGCTGTTAATACAGCTATCTGCTGGTTCTGTACTGATGAATGTAAATGGGGGCAGCAATCATGTAATGGCACAATGAAGGGGAAAGAAAAAGCTGTAGATGGTTTTTGTAGCTGGATCTGTAGAGATCAGTGCAGCTTTCAGTGCTGGAGATGGAGATTGAAAATGCCAAGGAAAATTGCTATGTGTATTGCTGAGGGAGATTCTGAGCCAGGCACTCCTGAGCAGTAGCTTTTATTGGGCTGGGCTGTTAATCCTGAGGGAGGCTCAGGAAGGCAGCAGAGTGCCCCCAGGAGGGATGGGGACAGAAGGGGGGGGAAAGAGAGGTCAGTCCCAGTTTATTGCTGTCAGCAGATGCACCACAGCCTGTGTTTTGCTCCATTCCCTGGCACTCACTTAAGTTATGCTGCTGCCAAGCTCTTTTCTTTGTACCTGGCCATGAAAATTATTAACTACCTTAGCAATTTGTCCATTTTCCTGCTCTTCTAGCACTGCTTACTTCTTGCCTACACCCTGGTATATTTATTTGGCCTTTTTCTGCCCCTTTCTAGGGCTGTTGACATCTTGAGAACAGCATCAGCCTCTAATCACATGTCTCTGCTCGTTGCTAGAGATGAAGAAGCAAAGTAAGTGAAAAATGGTTTTAACCTCAAAACTGATAAAAGTCCACTGCTGTATCTCAGGGCGGGTGGGTGGGCTTGCATGTATTTTTATTTCAGATTAGTTTTAATTGCAGAATTGCACCACATGTCACATTTTTCTGTGTGTTTTGATGCCAGTTCATTCTGAGATCACTTGCATCAATCACTTCACGTAGCAAGCTCAGGCCAACTTCAGTTTAAAGAGGAGGCTTGTTATGTTTACAGCTAATACCATTAAAATTATCTGCTGTGATAATTTTAAAATAATGAAAAATGAGGCATCTGGTAGAGCTACCACAAAACTATAAGATTTAAACTTGTCTTGCCTTCTGACAAAAGGCAGATTCAGTTGGTTTTTTCCCCTCAGAAGTTTGATTTTCAATTTCTAATGTGCTTTGAATAGTTTGGATAAGTAGGTTAAGCTATTCACTGCAGCAGGCAGTCTAAAGTATATTCATTTTAAGGACATTTATGTTACATATTGCTTTAACCTGGCTGATGAAAGTTAAGCATATAAACCAATATTGGCAGAGAGTCATCAGCAATGTGACAAACCAGATCTGTATCCCCTTTCGACTTAAATCTCAGGAGAAAACAGCTGTTATGTAACTATTTTTTTATAATCACTGCAAGAATATCTGCTGTTATTTGCCTTTCCTGAGATGCTCCACTTCCAGAGTAATCTCCCCATAAAGGATTTCTCTCTAAATTCCTTTAGCCTTTTGTCCAAGTTAAGCCTCCTCTTTCTGTTCCTTCATTTTTTTGTATTTGACAGACATCTCAATCACTATGTGGCCTCTGATCTCTCCTTTTTTTCAGACTGCCTAGATATATGTGAGGTCCACTCTTAATCTGCTTTTATCTAAAGCATACTGGCCTAGTTCCTGTAAACTCCTTGAATAATTAAAATCCATCAGTCCTTTAACCACTCTGCGGGGGAAGTGCAGTGGCCTGGGCAGAATTTACCACTCCATGCAGTCCCTCAGCAGCCACCTTTTGACTGTACATTCTGTGCTTAAAGATTATTTGATTTACATTCAGCTGTGTTTATGTTTAAACACAGCCAGCATTAGTACAATAAATGTTGTTTTTGAACAACCTTCAGAAGTCAAACTGGAATGACCTGGGAAATACTTTCCTTTCAGTCAGTTAATTTCTTTTCTCTCTGACTAATTCTGTAATATTAATTTGGTGATGTTTCTAACTTACATCACTCTATTTATATCTTTTAAATCAGTTATCACTGTGGTAATCAGAGCTCAGATTATAAACATTTATCTTAAATTAGGCTGGATTCAATATCAGATGAATCAAGTGTTTTTGTATTCTCTTTAATGCCTGTCACAAGATGTAATCTTTGCCTGCCTGTTACAATATGATTGGTGTCTGCATGGAATTTCTGCTTTTGACTTTTAGTAGTTAACAAATATTTCTCTGTCCTCTTGTTTGTAAGGAGCTATATCTTTGTCAGTCTGTTCTGGGTTCTTGTTCAGTGTATTTGAACTAAAAGCATTCTTTAAAAACATGATTATGCTATAGGTGTATAATCTCATTCCCTCTAATATAAATAAATTGTTCTGGAGCTTGGTAGTACCACTTTCTTATTATCTGTAGTTGATTATATGACAAGTTTTTAAAGTTTTGTAATTCAGGGTAAAGAGAGGTAAAAAATAAAGCTTTTGTACCAACAGTCCATTTTGTCCGTAGTCTGTTGTTTTCCCATCTTTATCATGCATTACGTGATATTTTTTTTTGCCTTTTCTGACCATTTGACAGGGCTTTCCTCTTTCAGTGGAGGCTGAGCTTCCTTCTCTGAGGAGGACCTGTTGTTCAGTACGAGCAGTGCAGGTTTCACAGGGTCCATTCAAACTGACAAATAAAATCTTTTTATTGGCACAGGAAAGAATTTCATGACCTAATGGATAAGTATGGCTCTCACAGTGACACAACATCTGCAAGAACTTCTCCAACACATCAGTTAGCTGGTGAGAGATTAATTCCCAGCCTGAAACAATCCTGGGGGGCAAAAATCAGCCTTGGGTGGAGTAGAAACTTGAACTTAAAATTCCTTATTTTAGGGGAGGTGTATTGGAGGAAGTGGCTAAAAGTCAGACAAAACACACATGTACCTTGAGGAATTTGTGTGTTAGTTTCCCCAGCTCTTTAAATAAATATACTGGTATCGACTTTCAATTTTAATTAATTATTTATGTGGAAGGTTTTTGGTATTATGTGGTGAGCTGTGCCACAAAATGCTAATAAAAATTTGATCTAGAACACTATAAATTGTAATCTTTCTGAAACCTCTGCCTAATTAGGATGCCTTTATATAGCATGGGGGATTGGTCTGTTTTGTATTTTGCATCCAATTTGTAAAAAATCATCACTTGTTAAGTTTTTAAAAATTATTCCAGGAACTCTGGGTGGTTCTCAGTTCTTAACTGTGCAGGCATTTTTTTGGTTGTCTGATTGCTTAGTTTGTCTGTTCTCCAATATTAAAATAGTCTTCTATTTACTGAACTGAACTTCCTTACATGAGCTGAAATTTTGTGCTTTTTCCCAAATGTGGTTTTTTATTTAGTTATTTATATTATTATATCTTTTTTTTAAAGCAAAATCTAGAGACAGCCTTTCTTCTGGGTCATCCTCAAGGTCACAGAGTCCTCAGTTGCATCCGAAGGATAACATCAGCAGCAGCAGCAGCAGAAATTCTGTCCCACCACCATCCCCAAAGCTTCCAAAGTAATCTCCAAAGCTGACTGTGCCTCTCTTGTGGGAGCTGCAGGAAATGCTGTTGTTTGGCTAGTCAGGAAAATTTGGGCTGAGCCCTAAGTCTTGAAGTTTGGTTTTATATTTTAACTTCTAGTCCTGTAGCTCATAATACCATCAACATTGCAGACTAATAAGTTTTTTTTTTCTATTTATTTATTGTTTATGTGGCAGAAGAAGAGATTTAATCAGGTTAATTTTTTTTGTGTCTTCTAATGAATTAATGTTCCTTGTTTATGTGTACCCAGATACTCCCATAAGCCTTGGGATATAGTGTATATCTGTATGTAGTAGAGAGGAGTTTTTAGCCTTGTAAAATAGAGTATAAATTATTTTTGTAATTGTCAGAAGTGCCTGAAATCAGAGGTTGCTGATTTTGTTGTAAATAGTGTAATATTTGAACACTGAGATTAAATTTCTAATATTCCTATTTGTTACTGTAATACATACTTGCAAAACCTGTAAGATAAAATAAGTCACTGCTTCAGTCTTTATTATCTAGTTCTGTGAAGTAATTCTGTTTTTCTTTCTCTTTGTGCCTCTAGTGACAGTGCATTTCAGATTATCTCTGTTTGCAAAGGAACAAGCCTAGGTTTGAATATTGTGGGAGGAATTAACAGAAATGAAGGGCCTTTGGTATATATTCAAGAAATTATCCCTGGTGGTGATTGCCATAAGGTAAAGACCTTTTTTCCCTTCCTTCCCCTTCAGACACCTGTATTTTTGCCTTAATTGCTTTGGTAAGCTACATCTGCAGTCATATTTTAAATACAAAATGTGTTTGTGTTCCTCCTTGCCTTCTCTTTTAACAGAATTACCTCACTACACTGTAACAGAGTTACACGGTAATGAAAATTTATTCCTAAGTTCATTTGAGGTAAATGAGGATCTTATTCCTCAGTTTATGTATGAGAAGGTACAAAACTGACTTCTATAAGAGATTGCATGATGCAAGGTAAATCAGGAATGATGGGACAGAGCTACAGATTGCACCTCTTTTTGTTTCTTGGACATTCAAAAAATCGTATTTCCCTGAGACTTAATTTAGATGGATCCTTGCAGTTGGAAATCATTGTGTAGGCAAATCAGAAAAAATAAATTCAGAAAGTGCAGACTAATAAAATGTATGAATTGGTGTTGATTACTGTTTTAATTTGTGACGAATGCAGTATGTAAATCAGGGGGATTTGTCAGTGTACAAAGTAAATAAATAATGTAGTTGCCTGGTTCAGGTACACAGAACTGTTTATCCAAGTGTCTCCTCTGGCATCCTGAGTAATTATGGTTATTTGGAAGTGTAGATAATCAGCCTTTGCCTCTGACCCAGCAAGAAGGGACAAGCTCAATTCATGAGCAGTGGGTTTTGTCCCCAGGCAGTTTATAACTATTTCTTACTGAATTTTGTAGACTAGTTTAATCCTAAAATGCAAGCTGGAAGATAAAAATGCCATGTTTCTCAAAGACCTCTTTCAATAGATAAATGGTAATCATTCCTCTTTTATTTTCTCCTATTTTGTTGTGGCTTCTAAAATATTTTTCTCACTGTGAACATGTAATTTAAAGCCTATCATGCATAATCAATAGACTGAGGCTTAGACATCAATTTCCATTAGGCTCTAATATTAGCAATAATAGAGGTGATTTTCCAGTACTGCTTCTCCTGTTTGGGAAGGTGAAACAGGAAGCATATTTTAATCATCTGCCGTGTGAGGGCACTGTTGGATATTTTAGAACATGCTGGATGAAAGCAAAATGAAAGATCTACAGCTTTATTGTTTAATCAAAACCAAAACACTAAGTGACAAAAAAAAAGGGTAGTAAAGTACTGGCATAGGTTTGAAATGACACAGCTGAAATTATAGTATGTGGGTGTTAAGCAGGTAAAATTATACTGGTTTTGAGAAGGTATTTTACTTATTTCCTATGTATCATCTTCTGCACACAATTTTTTTTTTCACATAGGGTGATTTTGTGTTTGATTTCTTAGGAGCTGAAGAGCAGAGACATATTCTGTGTTACATGATGTGTATTACATTAGACAAATGTCATAACTCTGTAACCATAGGTGAATTACATGAATTTCCAGTTGAATTGTTAAGGGCTCTGTTAAAATGTGAGCAAAAAAAGCTCTATCTTAGCTTCTCTTACTGAGAAATCTAGCCTAGCATGTTTAAAGTCTTGTCTTAGAGTCTCTGGGACAGAAATGTGAAATGTTCTTTGCTGGTAGAGAGTTTGCAATTAATTCAACAGAAGCACAAAGCTGACAATATTATTTCTGTCATGGTTTTGCCTGGTGAGTACTAATAGACCAATCTGGTTTTCTCATTAATATGGCCAGTGAGTGTCTGAAGAGTTCCATGTATTGCCATGAACATTTGCTTTTGAAATACAAATTAATCCAGCTCAGAGCTGAATTAATTAGTAAAGAAGCTTCCTAAAGTCAGATGGGTCAGTGCTGGAAAAATCTGTTGTTTCTTTCCTTGGTTTTGTTTTGGTTTGGTTTTTTTTAAATAGAAATGTTTAGCTGAGTTCAAAGTTCTTCTTTATACAGTTTGAGGTCTGTTTTCTCTGATGATTTTTTATCATGACTGCTTTAATGGTAAGGGATGATTGTTTAAGCTGTTTATTTCTGGAGAGTTGTCAAGCACAGGTAGAATGCAGAGCTGTTCTTGGTATTTTTTGTCCTAACAGAACCAGGGGAATGTGTCCAAGTGCTGTGACTATGCAGTTCTTTCTGTATTGTTAGCAATTAATATAAAGTTTGTGGGTTTTACATTTTTATTTAGGATGGACGATTGAAACCTGGGGATCAGCTTGTGTCCATCAACAAGGAGTCCATGATTGGAGTCTCCTATGAAGAGGCAAAAAGCATAATCAACAGAACAAAGATGAGGTATCTGTTACTGTCAAACAGCCAACCATCCAAAATGGTTTAATAGATGATATTTATGATCGGATTAATGTGAAATGTGGTTTTGTGTGCTTAGAGGAAATGAGGGACACTAATTTTTTTTAATACTCAGTTGTAATATTATTTCATAGAAAAGATTCAAGTGCACTGTTTAGACCTGCAAAATTATGATAGTTTAATATTTTAAAAAATTACAGTATTTGTCTTTGTAATGATGGGTAACAGAACATCCTTTTAGAAAAATAATTAAATAAACCCACACACGGTGTTTGGAAACATGTAATTTGTGCAGAAGTATAATCTTATTAATAATATTAGTATGCAATATGTTGAAACTTCTTACATTTGTATTCTAGGTTTGAAAATTTTTGGGAGATAGCTTTTATTAGGCAGAAAAACATACCTAGCCTTCCACAGAATCTGCAACATCCTTTCAGCCTCTTAACATCTTCTGTAGCACATGGAGAGCAAGAGGCTGCACCACTTGGTCCTCTTCCCTCTCCTAGTGGGAGGCTGGCTTCAGCATTCCCTCCAGATGCTGTGAGTGTATTTATTACTCCTCTTGTAAAAAACTGAGCAAATTATTGTCTTTCTCCTAATTGTAATTAAGTTTCCATTTTATTAAGAAAATGACTGTCTGTTTCCCTGCACAATATTGTCTTTGGAATATGAAAACTTTTGAAAAAACCGTGTTGTGTAACAGGAGAGTAAACCACACTGATGAGAGGAATTAGTTGACTTGGGGTAAGAAAACAAATTAAGCAAGCATTAACTGTGTTCTGAGATACCAAGTTCTCCTTCACTATTTCTCTGAAGTTTTGGAATTAGATATAAATAGTTATGTATTTCAGAGATAAAACGCTCCCTGCTTACTACATATGTGTGAGTACAGTACAATCTCATACTTGCTCTGTGACAATGAGATTTTTTGCTTAAAAAAAGTCCTAGAAGTTTGTGGGGTTTTTCCCCATTCATTTGGCTAAGCAGCAATTGTTTTAATTCATACAGCTCAGCATTAGTGTAAAGAAATAACGTTGACTATGAGAAAGAAGATTTTAAAACTAATATTTGTATTTTTGATAGTAGATTTTCAGGTTATCATATTTTTTAAGCTAAATAAAGTATTGCCTTAGAAGAAGAAAGTATAAAATGTTCTCAAATACAAAGTCAAAACAGGTGATTCTCCAATCTTCTTGTATTTGTACTTAAAATTCTTGCCCATTTTTCTTTCCTATTAGGGATATCAACATTGAAGTGGGTTGCCTAGAGAGACTGTGCTATCTTAATCTGTGAAGGTTTTCAAAACCCAAAGTTTTGATGAGGCCCCAGTCTGATTTTTTCCAATGCTGTTCATTCTCACCACCACCCCTCCATGCCTTTCTTTTTCTCCTGGGGTTGTTTTGATCTCTCCAGCCCTTTTTTCTTCCCCCAGTCTTCCTTCCTGTCCCTTTTTTCATTAACCTGTATTTCTGGTTTGGCTTGCTTTAGAAATGGTATTTCATGACTTTTCATTTCCTCTCGTAGATGGAAACTGGAGTCAAGATGGGAGAGCAATCTCCAATTACTGCTCTAGACAGCAATCCTGCTGATGTGTCTGCCACGGGCAAGTGCTGATTTAATTCCCTGCCACCCTTTTCCTTGTTCTTTCAATAACAGTCAAACAGAACATAGTGCATAGTGAGACTCAGTAGTCTTTTAAAAAAAAAGGGAATATTGCACTGTTTTTATACTCCTAAATAAAACACAGATCAATGGATTTTTAGTAGCTTCTGTCAAATATAACTTACATTGTCTCTAACAAACAGCTGAAACCAAACAAAAATGAGTGATCACAACATTTGCTATACAGCAGTCATGATAATAGACTCAGTAGAAACCAGATAATGAAGACTCACATATAGATCAAGATTAGGTTGCCATAGAAACTGTGCTTTCTTGATTTGATGAAATTCTGGGCATGTGTGCTGCTTGCATGGTTTTTTTGCTTAAATCAGGGCAGCATATTGAAAGGATAGAATTAACATGCAGCCCTCTTAACAGCTTTTCAGTTACTGACAAATACAATATATCATGTATATTTGTGTTTTAGAGTCATGACATTGTAACAAGGACAAGAGTCACTTTGATCACATCTTGAAATATCTATTTTGAAAACAACAGTTAAGGAAAAACAGGGTTTGTGAAATGTGGTCAGAACCAAATCTGAGCAGAACAATTGCAATTCCTGTGGGAAACTAATACGTTGTATTTAGAAACAGTGAAAATGCAAGTGACACAATAATGGGAGTCCCCACTGGCACACTGATAGAACTGACTCTGTTCAGTATTTCTCTGTGGAGACCTGAATATTTTTTTTCTTCAGGCAGTAGCAATTAAGCATAAGCTGAACTTCTCAATTTCATGTCTAACATACTGAGGAGAGGAAGAACAAATACACAGGATCTGATCCATTCCAGATATCTCTCCACTGATATTATTTAAATTGTACCTGCATTTATTATACCCCATATTAGATATTCAAATTTAAAATGAAACAGTTCCCATATATTGCAAATCTGATCAATTGGTTCCCTTTCTTGAAGGGTGAGCTGACCAAATGTAGGCTGTTGAAACTGGCAAAGTTTTAGTATTGACTGCACCTGGAGATTAATGTTCACACAGTTTTTACATATTGGCTATGCAAAACACTACAACTGAATCAAAGGAACAAGACAAAAGTCTTATTTTTTAATATATTCAGAATGTAAGACTCTTGGTTAATGTAATTCAGTACACAGGAGCTTCTTTTTTTGAAGGCACCAGGAAGGGCACAGTCTCTGAACACATCTGAAGAGCACAGGGAGTAGAGCAGAAAGCACAAATACTTGCAGCTCGAGTCATGTTTCATTTTCTTCTTATTTAACAGAACATCTTTTGAAAAATCTGACACTTCTTTCATGCTGCCCTTTTTCGAGGATGAATTTTTGAAGATTACCTTGAAAAATTAAAGCATCTCTTAGATGGGATACTCTTGTTTTTAACACTTTATGAAAAAATCAGCATAATTTGGAGAAGTTTTTGCCCAAACTCACACACAAAGCTTCTTCATTCTGAGCTGAAGGGAAATTGAGCCAATTCCATCAAGGTTCTAGCCCACTGTCTTCAGACTTTAATATAGCATGTGAGAGGTGTTAATGTCAGAGATTTTCAAGATATTTTGGTTTATGCTTTTGGCATGTAAAGAGAATGTAAATTACTTTGAGCTTGGAAACAGATATGCTGTGAAACTAAAAAAAAAAATGAAAAAAATAATTCTCTGTGATTCCTTCTGTTCCTTTAGAGAGAATCTCAAACTGCAAGATCCTTTCTTTACTTGTCAAACACTGGTTTTGATTAAGACCAAAATGATGACTTAAGACCTACATTATATTCTAAAATAAAGAATGCAAACAATGAATTTTTTTATTTGTATACATCTAAAATCCAAAGTGATACTTCAAAAAACCCCTGTAAACTTGTGTTTCTGACTGTAAGGGTAGAAGGGGCTGATGGGTGATGGCTTAATGGACAGGAGTTCTTGGAAAAGAGTTCCTTCCCAGGAAAAAATACCGAGGAGCCTGCAGAGTTCAGCCTGAGCTCCCTCCCATGTTGGAACAGGTCATTCCCTCTCTTCCCCAGTGTTTTCTAGATCACTCCATGTGCCAGTGGCAGCTGTCACTTACACTGAGGGTGTGCCTTGGAGGTCTCTCTTGGAATTCACAAGTGTGTTTCCCCTTCTGTTTCCTGAGTATCTGTGTATCTCTCAGAGAAGAGAAAATGCCACAAGGAGAAGCCATATGCTTGATGGATCACTCAAAGCTATTCCTGGTTATTTTCTGTTAATTTCCTACTTGTCATTTTTTATGTGAAAAAAACAGTGGAAGTGATTGATAGACATAATTTTCGTTGATTACAATTATGTCCTTTAAAAAATTAAGTCAGTCTAAGGATTAACATGTATTTTTGGCAAGTGGGTATTTAGCTGGCATCCACTTGATGAGCAGAGCTTCAGGACAAATTTTTTCAAAGCAATAGTTACCACTACACCATTATTACTTTTTTTTTATTTTTTTATTTCTTAGTTACTGCCCCCAGCCAGAATGATGATTATGAGCTCCAAGGAAAGAACTTGAGTATTCATCTCAAAACAGAAAAGCTGGAGAGGGTAAATAACTTAAAAATCTTTTGAGTTCTCCTTCCTCCCCCTTCATGATGCAGGTAAAACATCTGGGCAATACTGCTAGGCTGACCAACTTTAAAGTATAAATGACAGACAGAATTTTCTGTTTGGGTAGTTCTTTCATGTTGCAGGCCAATATTTCAGTTTATGTATTGGGCAAATTACTGTTTTTGTTAATCTAATTACTGATTAACTCTTCTGGGAATCAGAACATCCCTCAGGATTTTTAAAGCAGTTATTAAGGACAAAGGGGTTTGCTTATTACACTCATCTGTATTCAAGGTTAAATAATATCTGAACATCTCTCAATTAGGAGGAAAAGTCACTGAGTGGCTCTGGAATAAAAGTGTTGTCAGTGAGAGTGTACCAGGATACAAAGGCTCTTTGAAGTGTAGCTCTTTAATTACTCCCCCATGTCCCTGCAGTCATTATCCTTAGTCCTTTCTTTTTTCACTCCAAAATAAGTTTTTTCCTTCCAGGCACTGAATTATCTTGGGATTCAGCTCACAGATGAACAGCAGCAAGCCCTAAGGCAGCAACTTCATAAAGATTCTAAAGGAACAGTATCTTTTGGAGGTAATAATTTGTTAATTACCATAGAAAATAATGAAAAGTAGGAATACAGAAATTATGTATAATAACGATTAATATAATTCTTGTCAGTATTGGGTTGCTGCTGCAAATAAAATGATAATTTGAGGCAAGAACCTTATTTTGCTGTATAAAAATAAGCTTGGAGTTCTACTTGAAACTAAGTAGTGGGAATGCAAATCACAAATTTATTTTATTAAGGGCAGCCTTGGGAAAGTTTTATTTTGTGCTCACAAAATCTTGAATTTTTTGTTCTGACAATGGGGAGCTGTAATTTTTCCAGAAATCACTTGGGATAGTTTTGATGGTTAAAGAGGCTTCTTGAAGCAAGTAAACTCATGGATCACTTAATTTTAGTGTGTGGGAAGCAAGAACATTTCAGCTGTTGCAGATAGAAACAGGTTTGCAGGGAGACCATCACAATTCTTCCAGTTAAACCTAATTCTGATCAGAATGAGTGGCTTCTTGTGGTTGTAACAATTTTGGTTGATGATATGGACAATTTAAAAATATTTTTCAGAAACTGTGAGACATGATGGTTCTGATGCTAAAACTGATGGAAATTTTACTTTTCCTAAAGTCTATGAAAAACACGAGTGTGTGAAAAATAGTATTTTGTACTTAAACATCCAAAAAGATCAGCAAGAAAAATACTGGATGTTCTGTCAGATTTCATATGGAGTAAACAGACCTTTATATTTCCACTTTTCTGCCATAAAATCATTTTGGATTTAAAAACTCTGGAGCAGAATTTTTAAATCCAAAATGTATGGGAAATCTAAGTCATATTGATTGTGCATTAGAGACTGTTTGTATTTAAAATTTTCAACCTGGTCAACATCAATTTTACCAAGCCTCTATCAAGGGTTTAAAGGGTCTAGAAAGGAAACCTTGAGCTCTGAGCCAGCAGGAAATTTTTCCTTTTTCCTGTCTCCTCTGGTAAGGTCAGCTCAGTGGGAAGGGCAGGTGTGTACACCTGTTGTGCAGATTTATTTCATTCTTCACAGACACCTGCCAAATGCAGAACTCTCAGGTACTTCGCAGGTGAGCTTCACACCACCTTGGTTTTCTTTTCTCCTTCACAATTTGATTTGAAGATATTTCATTCCACAATATGTTTGGGCATTTTTATTCTTACCAGCTTTACCAGAACTTTCTCTCTGGAGATACCTCTCTGATTTTCTTTTTTTCCTTTAGAATACTGCATTTATCAGAGTGGCTGTTCATGGTGATCTGTTACTAAACTCAACTTCCAGACTACAGCAGCAAAATCTGAACTGTTTTTTTCCTAGATTTTCTTGAAGTTTCAAGGAATCTGTTGTCTGTGCAATCAAATTCAACTGATAATGGCCACAAATCTGAAACCTTTGGGATCAGTGAAGTTGCCAGCTTACAGGACTCACAGGTAAAATGTGTGCCTGGTCAGTGTTTTAACAGTTGGGAGGAGATTATCGGAGAGTTTATTGTATGTAAAATAACTCCAAATGTTGGGCAGGTGTTTAAAACAGCTCTGCAGCATGGGGTTCTTTAAGATAACCTAGTTTCTGTGAAGGTTTTTAAGCAGCCTAATTTGTAGAAAGTAGTTAATGTAATTAAATTGTCCTTTGTTGTAAGTCTGGACAACATTGATTTACTGAGGTTTCTTAATAGAATTTGGATTGCTACAACCTGTGTGAGTGAGAAACAATTACTGGGCCCAGTGATTTGAACTGCTGCTGCAATGAAAATCATTTTATTCTAGAGGTGACTTTAAAAAAGAGCATTTTTAGTATATGAACACTAAAATAAAATGCCTTATTATTTAAAATATTAAAGTAGTGATGTATTCTTGATACTTCAAAAAACACTTTATTAATCAATTTTAAAAGGAAAAGCAATTTTCATTTGGAAAATAATCTGTTTAAAATTTTATTAAACATTTTTAGCATTTTCAGATCTATAAATCATCCTAAAATTAAGATTTTTTTTTTCTTGTTTTACTAACAAGAACTTTTAATATAAGATGTTAAAGATTATGGAAGGCAGAGTTAGCAATCCATTCCAACCTTTTGTATTTGTATACACACAGTTTGTAACCTGTGATTCCTTAGAGGATGATGTGGAAAAACTTAAGAAAGAAAGAAATGAAGCTTTAAAAGAAATGAGCAAATTAAAGGTAACACTTGTTTTTTATTTGCTTTAAATTATTCAAGAGACTAGAGGCTTTTTTGAATGTATATAGGAATTTACTGGTTCTTTGAATTTCATGTGCAGTTTTTCATAGATAAATAAAATGGCAGTGAAAACAGTCCTAATCATGTTTGAAGATTGCTTACAATATATTTGTGGAGACAGTGAATTTTAGCCATTATACTGAATGCTAACACATTTTTTGATCTGGTCTATAGAGGAATGAGACTAAGCAAACATTTCACAAAAGTGAATTTGGAGAAATGACTGATTTGCATGGCAATTTTATTTAAAAATGTGTGATCCTAGTAACTGCAGAGTCTGAACGCGTGCTGATACTTCTGAAAAGAATCAGAACTGAAGGATAAATTAATCTGTGTGCAAAATTAATACATATTTTCCCAGGCATTACAAAATTCCCAAGTCCTAAAGCAACAAATATTATTTCTTAATACTGCAGGTTGCTACCAAATTCTTATGGTCCTGAATTTCTTTTTTAGCAAACCATAAGATAGGACGTTCTGTGTTCAGCATACATAACTCTGGTTCTTGAACAGGACTACTGAGCTTGGGGTAAAGACAATTTTAAAAATTGCCCCTTGGTCCAAAAAATTTCTTGCTGTAAATTACAGAAGCATTGGGTTGAAATGGCCAGAGGTCAGTTCTCTGTTCTGTGCATGATTCTTCTTCTGAGAGCTTTGCACTGAAATGAAAAAAGAACCTCATTTTCATAAAACACAGTGAATACTGACCAGGTGTCCCTAAATTGCTGATGTGGAAAACTGACAATGATCCATCTATAATTAATTGCCTGATTTCTTACACTCTTTTACACACATCCCAGAAATGTTCAGTAAATAATTCTAAAATACTCAGGAAACTTAAACAGCATCAATGAACTCACAGATAAGTTAGCTTTTAGAGATGGTTTTATAAAAGCTGTTGATAGAAGTTAAGTATTGTTATCTGTAGTTTTGAAAGAGCTAATTGCTTTAGGACCAAAACTCTTTCTCTTTAAACTTATTTATTATTCTTTTTTATTTTTTTAATAGGAAGAATTGTCTGAATCTGTGAATTTACAGAAGCAGTTAGCAGAGCAGCTACAAGTAGTCAAGCAAGTATGTTGAAGTCTTTACAAATTATAATAATTTTAAAATTTTTACATTTTTTTTGTGGAAGGGAGAAAGGAGCACTTCTTTTTCTCTTAGTGCTCCTATGGACTATACTTTCACACTGATTTCAACACAAAGGTGGTTCTTGTGTTACTACAGAGCTTTTGATTAAAAGCAGAGAATTGATTCTTCAGTTTTTAGAGCAGTAATCTATTTCTCTGCTATTAAATTGAGATAGGAATCCTGAGACCAGCTGGATCAATGAAGTGGGATAATGATGTAGTAGAACCTTTCTAGGCTGAAGTGTTCTTGAGGAGATTTTGCTGTTCTTAGGCAACAGTTGCTTAATTTACAGTCCTAACATTAACTACTTTATATGTCAACCAGTCTAAAATGTGAAAAAATTACCAGGAAAAAAAGTTGAAGTCAGGGTTTTCTGAGGAAAGTCTTGTTTCTGCTTCCAAATCTGTCTATAATTATGAGCCAATAAATCAGAGTATTTGGCTTCCTTGTGTCTCTTAAAGGAAATTCCCAATTAAATGTAAGTCTCCTGTCATTTATAGCCTGGATTCAAAACCAGGGAACTTTCCTGTTCCCTCTTCCTCCTGACCACCCTGTCAGCTTTTCCTTCTAATGAGCTGACTGCTTTCCTTCCCTCCTGCACTGCTGCACCTATTCTTTGCAGGTTTCTCATGTCAGATGTCATGTGAAAATGCAAGATAAAGTTTAAAATTGCCCTGTATTAAGATTAGTTTTATATTTTGCTCCTAAGAGTCGTTGAACACCTTCATGATCACTTTTTATTCCTTGAATATACAAGAGCTTGCTTGAAAGCTTTTTCCATTAGTATTGTGTTGTTTCCTTCTGTACACTGTGGGAAATAAATTGAGTTATATTCTGGATAAAATTTAACTGGAAGATTGTTCCAGTAATGCACTTGAAGTTCCCATTCTCTAATGGCTTGACTGTGTTGTTCTAGACCAGAACACTTGTTCAGTGCATTAGTCCAGACTAGAGCTGGTACAGAGTACAATCCCCAGTACAAACCTGCTTTTCCTGGGAAGGCAGCCTGGGACAGGGCTGGTTTAAGATGTTTTAGGTGGCAGCAGTGCCCATTTGCCACCACTCGAGGTCCTCCCACTTTTATTTTTCTCAGGTACTCTCGTGTGGTGGTGAAATTCAGTTTTGCCCTGCAAACCTCCCAGGGATAAATACTGATTTTCTTGTAGGCATTGAAAGGGTTCCATGTAGCGAAGTGAAAGAGAAATACTAAATTATATTTAATTACAGCATTGTATGATCTATTTTAAGAGGTAAAAGTGGGTTTTTAATGGACATTTTGTTCTGTTTATACTTGGTGCATGTTCAAGTGTTTATATATATATATATTTCTGTTGTTTAAAAGCAGTATTGGCACTGAGATTCATGGTGATAAGTTTTTTTTAAAATAGGCTACTTATAGTACAAGTTGCCATTTAACTTCTGATGTGCATTTCTGCTTGAGCTCGTTAGTGAAAGGAGTTAATGAGTACATTATTGAACCCTAATGGCCTGATTAAAAGAAACGAACAACCAAACTAAACAAAAAACCCAATTTAAGGCTGTGCTTCAGGTCTGACTTCAGCATAATTTAAACACTTTTTTAAATGACTGCTTTCCTGAAAAAAAACAAGGTTTTAAATGAGGATTTAGGTTACCAGTCATATATTGATGTATATTTTGTGGTATTTCTGTTTTCTACTAATTGTGAATTGCAGAGATTACAGATTAATTAAGACAGGGGTACAAACATTCTGGTTAATGAACATGTTTTGTTAGTACCAATTCATTAAACAGTGCTTGACTCAGTAACGAACAGCATGAATAAACTCTTAAGATTAGAAATGCTGCTAAACTTGCAGTGAGGTAGGAATTATTTTCTAATATTGGTATGAGACAATTAAAAGTCATTAATTGATCTATTTTTGCTTTGAAGTTGTGATATAGCACTATATCTTTGGGGCTTCCTTGAAATCATACGTAAGCTGAAATTGGCAGAAGACACAGAAAGGCACTTTTGAGTACCTGAAGTCTTGCCAAGAGCATGAATGTGAAATCTGTAATGATGTCTTCTGTCTTCCTGGAGGAGTTGGACTGGATCCTGTGCTGCCTGAGAGTCCTGGGGTATTTCAGCCTCAATGATCCCTTCTGTACTACAGCTTTTTCTGGGCACTTTCTGTCAGCTGCAGCACTCAGCTAAACGTAGAAAATGGGAGATACCACTGTTTGTGGTATCCCAAACTCCTGGCCTTGGTTCATAGGGCTGAGATTTGCTACTCTGTGGTTGCTTTCTCTAAGGGGAAAATAGGAGATTTGAATGACTGCTATTTTTTGGAAGCAGTATCTAACGTATTTCACCTTGCTTGAAAGAAGTTTGGTTCATTTCATTAGGTTTTTTATTTTAATACATAGTAAAGATATTCAAAGTTCTTTTAAAGGATTATTTCAATATACAGTTTTTGTAGAATTAACCAACAAGCACAATTGATTTTTAACTACAATTTCATGTAGTTTAAAAGAATATCTTAGTTCTGGTGTTTGTGGTGGCTGGAATAAAACTTGGATGAAACCTTCTTACAACTCAAATTTATCCAAGGAAGACATAGAACAGGGCTTAGGAAGAAACACCTACCTTGAAGTTGCTTTTTTAAGGATTCAGCTTCTCTCCTCCAGCTGTTGTTCATTATTGGTTGTAGTGGCTTCATACCAGATCAGGACAATGAGTCCCATGAGGTGTTCATATAAATGAAATATTAGCAGCTGCAGATCCCCTCTCTGTTATGTCTTAGAATCCTAGATTGGTTTGGGTTGGAAAGGACCTTAAAGCTTATCTCATTCCACCCCCTGCCATGGAAGGGGATACCCTCCACTATCCCAGGTTGCTCCAAGCCCTGTCCAGCCTGGCCCTGGGCACTTTGTCATACATTTGAGTGGGACAAGAGCTCATGTGCTGAAGTGGGTATGACCCATCAGTTCTTCACTGGTGGGGCGCCCTTACCTGCCAGGTGAGAGAGCCCACTGTGCCCCCCCAGGACCAATTCCAGTAACTGGAGAATGGGAAAACCTGATGGAATCATTTCCCTTTGTGCCCCTCTGCTCTAGCAAACAGCTCTGGTGTGTCAGACAATTTTGCTAATTCAGTTGTAGTGTGTGTAATTGTTTCATTGTAATGTAAGAAGCCATTGTTCCTTAATTATTCCTTTAGGTCTTTCACTGTTGAAATCTGGTCATACTTAGTCTGCTATTACAGAGAAATTAATATTCAACAACTGGGGTTCTGAAAAAACAATGGAGGAGTAAAGGCAATTCTGGATTATAAGAGATTAAACCTTTATCTCAAGGATGTCTTCTTTCAAAATGAAGACCTCCCTTTTCATAATAGCAATTTTCTCTTCACTTTTCTTATGTCAGTTTATTTAAATAATTCCTAAGTGTGGGTTTTTAAGATGCCACCCTTTCTCAAGGCCTCTGTGTTCATTTATATTAGTCAAACTTAACGTCACAGAATCTTTTCACTTTTGTCTCCAAGAGTCTTTTTCCCACCTCCAGCCTGTTTCCCAAGGATGCCTTTGCTGCTGAAGGCTCCCAACTCATCCTCTGTAGCAGCAGGACCCAGCTCTTCTTGCTGTTGACTCATTTTTTTTCTTACAGTGGCAAGAAAGTGCCTCCCCAAAGGCAGTAATTTGACCTCTGCTTCTGTAGGTTGATAACTTCTTAGAAGTCCTTGTGTTCCCTGAGTTGTTTCTAGGAAAAAGGAGTGCCAGGAGCAGCTTGCAGGAGGGGTGATTGCTGTGCTGTCAGGGAGTGTGAGCAGTAATGACCCTCACACTGCTCTTGGTGAACACAGCAGTGACACCAGTGTGAGGAAAAGCACACATGGAGCAATAAGCTTGGGATGAGTCTGTGCTTCCAGGTGCAGGTGGTCCCTGTGCAGTTCACCTAATGCTTCCAAAGGAAAAAGAGAATTATTCTAGTTGCTGTCAAAATGAAGGTCACTTAAATGGATCTCTTAGTGCTTGTGCCCTGTAACAGAAACCTCTAAATTATGCAACAGCAATGTCACCTGTGTTCACTAATGGGGTTACTGTTCTGCATGTGTGGTTACTTCCACTGCTCTATTTTCTGAGAGACCAGGATGTCCCTGGCCATTGTCCAAATTGGTATTCTGTTGCAGAGATGAGGAAGATGATGTACTGGTTATATGTCACTGAGATTAGCTGATTTATGGCCCACAATATATTGTCTGTTAAGACTAACAGTGTAGAGAATGAAGCTCTAATGAAGCTGAGATTGATGGAGCATTTTACAGAAAGACCATTATCACAAAATATAGGAAAACCTGACTTGAAGGATATTGATTGTACAGGACAAATGCTTCTACATTAGGAAAGAATTAAATCTGTATTTTTAAGTTTAACTGACCTCTCTAGACATTTCTATTATGACACCTTTTATATGCAGTTTTTTCCACAAAACAGGAAGATCTGGTCATCTGGGTTTTTTAGAAACAGCAATTTCAAACCTAGCTTCTAGAAGGTTATTTCCTCCATGTTAAAGAGTCATCATGTGTTTCTTCTCAATGGGAGGAGAAACACCCACCTGTTTTCCCTCTAGTTCCATTCCCAACCAGGATATAATTATAATTATAAGATGCAGTAGGTAGACCAGGAATAGAATATTCACCTAAGTATCCTTAACTGAGCAACTTCTACAAAAAACTTCTAGCTATGTGAATTTGTGTATTTAAATCTGATAACTTTAATTATTGAGAAAATTGATGCAAAGTGACTTTACTTACAGATTAATTAATAGCTGAGGGAAAAGATGGTTCAGTGATTTTAGTGCCAGTGAGCCTGTACATTTTGTATGAGCAGTTTGTTTGTTTTATTCCTGGATGAGTGTAAACTGATCCACTGTAAAGACTTTTAGTTTGGCTTTCTAATTTACTGATCAGTTAATTTCAATTAATATTCAGTCCTAAAATGAACTGAGCAATATCTTGAAAGGAGATTTTGCAACATTTAGGGATTATGTTAGCTGAATTAAAAGCTAACAGTTTCTGGTTTTCTGTACATTATATCTGTCTATCTCTCGCTCTCTATATAGATATAGATATAAATTTTATCTATCACTCTTCTGTGATAATCCAGCATATTAGGAGCATAGTAGGACCAGGAATGAGGCAGAAAAATTGATTTTATAAAAGAAGCACTGATTCTGAAAAGAGTGTGGACTGAATTACTTGCATTAAAAGTCTGTCTACATGATGTGTGAGCTGTAACTAGAGTGTGAATTCATGCAATAAAAATGAAATTAAGTAACATCTCATTAAGGTACTTTTTTGGTGTGGAAGCAATGGGGCAGATCAACAGCATCTGGTGCATTTCAAGAAAACCTTTCATTCAAATAGATTTTCAGTAATTATAGAACTTGATATTTCATTTATTAATAAAATTTTGTCTCTGTACATACCTGGTTTTCATTTGCACATAATGTTAAAAATCAGCAATTGAACCCTCTAACCATGAACACTAACAGGTAGCCCTGATGCCAACTGCAATACTTGTGAGCTAAATCTGTTTTTTCCTTGGTCGCTGGAGTTGTAACTTCTGCACTGAATTATACAACCTGCAGGAAGCCAAGGCAGCTGTGGAGGAGAGCAGAGCCCTGCGCAGCAGAATTCACCTGGCAGAGGCTGCTCAGAGGCAGGCCCGGGGAATGGAGATGGACTATGAAGAGGTGATTCGCCTGTTAGAGGCTGAAATTGGAGAGCTGAAGGCTCAGCTCGCTGAGCATTCCGGCCAAAATAAAGTAAGCAAAGCCTGTCAGAGTTACCATGGTTTCCTTGCTGTTGTCATGTATCTGGTTTTCATTTTCTTTTCATCTGCTTTTCTAAAGTAGGTCACTGTTTGTCTTTTATTATTCAATAACTGGGATGATGTGGATTGAAGAGGGTAATGTGAAGTGTACAAGGCTTCCTTTATCCAGACATCTTTGGGCTAGGAAAACAGGAGCTCCCAGCATATGTGGGTTATAGGTCAGAATGGCACATCTCAAACCTTAAGCATGGAATAGTTTCTGGGCTGCAGATATGTTGTCTTTGAAGACTACACCTTGCACATATTTGTATGCTATTGTACTCATGTGAAAATGGCCTTCAGGTTTATGTTTCTGTTAGGCAAATAACAACCATGTAAAGTCCAGTCCTGTTCCAAAGTAAATTTAAATTTATTCAAGGTAATCATTTGAATGCTACTAATCCTGCAAAAAAAATTTAATTGAGCCTTATATTTTAAGTCTGCTTCATCTCCAGCGAGGCATTTCAGAACAGGCTAAGAAATAAAATATTTTATGCACTTCAAAATTTTTTTTCATAACTCCTGACCTACGTTTTAGACACAGTTTGAACAAGTGCAAGCAGGTTGGCATTTGTGAGGTTACCTTGTTTTTCTCATGAAAAACCAATGTGCATATGACCTGGTGAAGAAAACTGACTGAAAAGTTTCCTTGTTTCATCCTGAGAATTAATTTAATATTTCAAGACATTAGAAGGTAGAGTCCAGCTCTGGGGTAAACAAGCTTGCAGAGAACAGCTTAGGAAGCTGTGGCTCCCAGGAGGAATTCCTGTCATCTGATTGTGAGTGATAAGGTGAATCACACCCTGGATGTTCTTTCTGAACATCTGGGTGAGATGTTCCATCTTTTATGGAAGTGTTCTTGCATCACTGTTTGTTTTCTGTAAATAGCCAAATTTTAAGAAATTCATAGAGTATGGGTTGTTTCCCTGGACATTTGTTCCAGAGATTCCAGCTTGAGTTCCTGAAATTCTGGCTGAGTACTGCAGTACCTGTGTGGAGATTTGAATCTCTGCATTTCTTACCCAAAAGAAGCAGTATCAAGTTTCAGGCAGGGTCACACCTGGTTTTTTTAATTTAATGCCTGAGTAAATCTTCCCCTAAAACACACTCACTAAACAGAATATAACATATGTTGATGCATAAATAAAAATCAGATTGGTCCCTCTCACTTTTTCAGTGTGAAAGAGTGAGTTCTTTCACCAGCTTCTTCTCCAGACTGGACAGTGAAATAACCAAAAATAGGTGTTTGAATCAACAGATTCTTTGACATTCAGGGAGATGATGGTTCTGCTGCTTTGTGCAGTGTGTACAAACAAATTATTTGCTTCCAGTAAAGTTAGTAAGTGGGTTTTGTTGATTATTTTGTAAGGGTTTTAGAGTAGGTTGTGTGTTAGTGTAATATTTTCTGAAAAATCGCTTTGCCAGGATTTCTTCTCCTGGGAAGCTGAGAAGCCTCAGAGAGGAATGTAAATAATAATTATCTGATTGCTTCTCCTTGTGTTTTGCTGCTGTGGAATGTAATAGGTGATTGTTTGATTGGTTCCATGTGAATTGTTTTAATGACCAATCACCATCAGCTGTGTCAGACTCTGAGGAGTCAGTCACAGGTTTTTATTATTCACTCTTGTTCAGCTTTCTGATATATCCTTTTCTCTGTCTTTTAGAATAGTTTTAGTATAGCGTTTCTTTTAATATAATATCACAATATAATAAATCAACCTTCTGAGAACATGGAGTCAAAATTCATCTCTTCCCTTGTCCTGGAGAGCCTCACGAACACCACAGTTGTAGGCTTTCACAATGATCACCTGCAGTGTGATGCAAAAGTTTATTTATAACTACAATGGTTTTTCTGTATTTTGGAGAGATCTTTCTAGATCTTGTGTCCCGCAGACAGCTGTGCTAAACAGACATACCCAGGTACACGTGGGGACTTTAGTCATGGTCCTGTCACAGGAACGGTGCCAGGAGCTCTAATGAAACCCAGAGCCTCCACAGCTGGATCTAACAGGGCTCACATCTTCTGTGCTGAGGGAGGAAGGGATGCATAACACTGATCAATAGGTTATACAAGTGCATGCAGAGGCATCCTAGGGGGTGATTTCCTCCAAGATGTGCCATAATTACTGTATGGATGCAAACCAGGGGACTGAGTTTGTTCTGGCTGTTTATGCACCCTGCTGAGATACTGTCACCATCAGGTTGGTATTTTTCATCCATTCATCAGTCAGTTCAAGCTCTCTTTGTTTTCTGTTGTCTTCGAATTTTAGTTTACCTTTCTATCATTTGCCAAAATCTGTTGCAGTTTGGTGCTGATTTGCCAGCTGCTCAGGCATTCCAGTTTTATGTTTTACAGAAATGTAGAAAAGAGCGTGTTAAACATTCCAAACACACTGTTCACACTATGTGTGATCCAAGGGAGGAAAATTATTAGAATAAAAGCCTTAAAATACTTTTCCCAGGAGAACATTCATGACTTGAGAAAGAGGGTTACAGTGCTTGACTGCCAGCTGCGGAAATCAGAGTCGGCCAGGAAGACATTTGAGGTGGCCACTGAAAAATTGCTACAATTTGTAGAGGTAACTTTGCCTTTCATTTTTAACAATATCTTGTTTGGAAATTTCTTTTTTGTTGATGTTTGTGAGGAATGAGCATAATAAAATGGCTATAAACCAGTTTGCAGAGATTCTTTTGTTCCTAGAAATAGAGATGATGTGTAAGTGTGCAAATTAATCCAGAGGTTTACATAATCTTTGTGTTTTGCTGTACTGGGCAAATGAAAATGATCAGATAATTTTTTCCACCTAAACTCTATCGAGTTCCGTAAAACTCCTCAGAAGAAAAAGGCACAAAAGCTAATAGTTGATAATTCTTTGGCATGTTATGAAACAATAACAAAAAAGTGATGTTGTTATATTTACTTTGTTTAAAGGGGTTATAGTATTTTGGTTTTTTACTTGTGCACTTCTAGCTGGGAGACACTAGACTCTTTAATTGCAAACCAAGTCCCCCACTCCCAAGTAGAACATCAAATTATAAGGTATTAAGTTTTTGACTGTGTTGATTTATAAACTGTTAACTTCTTGACTATGACCAACAGGTTGTGCATGAAATACTTTCAGATAACTCTACTTCTTCAACTATTTTAAGGTAATGAAATGGCAATATTAATAGTGGAAAACTCTACTATTGTTTCCAAGTCTCAAAGAACTGCCTTGTAGCTGGTTTTCTCTATATTTTTACTGTATAGTTCTGGGTGTCATTTTATTGAAGGAGAGGGAATGGCATGAATTATAAATTAGGCTTTCAGGGTACAGCTTCATTAAAAACCTCTGAATTAAATTAAAACAGTTAGTAATTACATAGCTATGATTGTCTGGATGTTTCCATAAAGTAATTATAATGTACTAATGATTAGTTAAAATGCAAGGAACCTTAACAGTGGGTTATAATTTTTAAATATATTTTTTAGATTTTCCTAGGTGATTTTGCATCACAATGAATACAGTAGCATAAAAATAAATTGATAAAATGTATATCCATTTACATTTTGTTACTTTTCTTGTTTGAAAAGCTGCTGGGGATATTCAAGAAGGTGTAAGCAGCCTTTGGTCCTTCAGAAAATTGGCATGATGGTGCCTATATATTGCAGATAGCATTTCATTAATATTTATGTAACAGTAAAATTGTTCAGTCTCTTTCCTGCAGTTTTTTCAATACAGCTCTCATGAAAATCAAATGTATTTAAGTGAAGTGAACTGGAACTTTATTTCAAAAAACCTAGGCAGGCTCAGACCAGCTAGGCTATCATAGATAATCAGTGAGATGCAGTTCCCATTGGCACTGCACACAACAACAGTGTTGTCTGTTTTATGAAGTTCATACAATTTATTTTAGTGAATGGATTAATTATCAAATACTAAGCCAAGGTGACAAACTGACTGGCTAACAGCAGAGAAGATAAGAATTGGGTCCCATGAAGCAGTGTCCCTTCTTAAATGCTGGTATGAAAATTCTTCCTGACACCCTCTGAGTCCTTGACACTGCATTTTGAGTTCTGAATGTTATTTGAATTGAACTTTCCAAAAACCTTCATTGTTCAGCCAGGACTGCTGCTGGGGCAAACTCACTGATTTGGGAGCGTGAATCTTTTTTTTCATACAGTGAGAACAAAACCACTTTAGAAAAGTTTACCTTATGGAAAGGAGCAGTTTCCTTTATCATATTCCAAATAAACACTTATTTTTTTATTATCTTAGTGACAGGAGAACATTGTCCACTAAAGCACTTCTGGCTCGGCTGGGAAGGGTCGGACCTACTGTCACAGCAGCTCTTGCAGCAGAAGCCAGGGACCTTGCCAAGTCTGTCCGTGCCATTTTGGAAGTAGATTGTGAGTGAGTGTGTCCATCTCTGTGTGCTTTGAAATCTGGTATCAGTTCATCAGCCAAGAAGATGGATCATTTCATTTAAAATTGGATGTGAACTGGCTGAATAAATCATTCCTAGCATGGAAGGACAGAGCTGGTTCAGTGTCAGCTCAGGCTGCATCTTCATCAAACTATAATTAGAATATAAAGTTATTCCAGAGTACATTTCTTCACAGGAAAACTTAAAGCACAAAATTAATGTCAAAGTGAGGAATATGAAAATTACCAGAATCATGTAAAACTAGCAGAATTTCATTACTTTAATTCTCTGTTTTTCATACTGGAATATTTACAAAATGTTATTCTGCTGGATTTACATGAACATGTATCAAAGTGTTTTAATGAGGATGTTGTTGCTGTAGGGAGTGAATGTAGGCAGCAGTTCCATTTGGAGATATCCACGTATTTCCTCAGGTCATGAACAGAAATCTCTTCCCATTGGTGAAAATGATGGTAATTCATGAGAGTGACTGTAAGAAACTGCATCAGTTGAAAATCTAAGAAACAGGTTTGAATTGTCATATAATTCCTGGTTCAGATCATTGAAATGATTGTGTATTTTGATGGTATTTGCCTATAGTTGAGCAGGCATGTCAGTTCTAATCCATTTTTGATTAATAAAAATTGAATAGAAATGGTACATCACAGGAGGTTTTGGAAAGGTGATTAATTATGGTTGTCCATAATTATTGTATCAAATATTGGAATAGTTTTGACTGTTCAGGAATTAATTTAGAAAGAGATTGAAAAAATTGTTGTTGAGAAAATAAGATATGAAAAATAGTTTATGTTATTTAAAAATCATTAATTTATTACTCATTCTGTGTCAAAGAAAGCAAAATAAGAAGATAAAATTTTTTCCAAAGTGTCCAGAATATTAGAGTTACCGGTGGAGTGAAAAGAATAGAAGTGACCAGGAGAGGAGATAATTGGTTTTCCACCTATGATAATCATAGTTCTGTCACACTGAATTGGTCTTATTACACTACACAGGAAATTGTGCAAAGAAAACTTTTGGTTCTAAATGCAGCTGAGTTCTAACATGTGGTTATGTCAAACATAATAGGTAAAATACATGTTAGAAAGCTCTGGAGGCTCAGCTGGGATCCATTTTATGAACCTGAGAATTAAAAATAGGTCTGCAGAGAAGGATTTAAAGATTGCACGTCATCTTTCCGAGTTCATTCTGATTTGGAGAGCATTACAGATAGATTTGGGCTCTGACAAGCTTGGGTATGAGATTAAAGCTTTAAACCTCACTGGCTTTTTTCTCCCTCCCCCTCCAAAAAAAAGTAGTTAAGGGAAAGGAAGTGTGTAATAGCATTCTGTCTGCAGTGTTCTCTGCCAGCTTCTCACTAAATGTTTTCCATGTGATCTGAAGTTTTCTTGCAGATGGACTGTCATAGAAAGGGGGCTCTTGTGTATGTGGCATTTCATAAATACCTTCCATCAAAGAGAAAAGTGTAATAGAGACTACAGTGCAGACTGAAGGGCTTTCTTTTTCCCAGGAAGGTGTCCACAGCATAATAATTTGTTGGTGAATTCTTAGAGAGACAACTGGAGTTAATATTTTTGATGTTGCTCAGTGGATCAGAATGTCTGGCTGGGAAACCTTTGTGGTACATTTTACCTTCTATTTAGAACTCCTCTTTCATTATTTGCTTCATTCTTGTAAATATGAAGTAAAGGAGCCCCAGCCAAAATTCCTCTTTGATTCATTTACAATACATGTGAAGCAAAGTCTGGGTGCCAAGAAAAGGTTGTAGAGTGTTTTTCCAACAGAAAACTGCTTCCTTTGTAAAAAATCTTCCTTGACAACCAGGTCAAAATGACATATTTTTAAGTTATCCGCACAAACTATCCCCTTCCTCTATAATAGCCTGACGTTTTGCCTGAGGGAAGAAGCTTGAAGAAGTTCAGTGTATTCCTGAAAATCTTCAAGAACATGTTGCCTTGTGATACTGCTGCAGATCAGCTTTCAGCTCTGCAGGCTGAGTGACAGCTCTGTGAAGGCACTTTGGTGATTCTTCGAGCGAAGACTCTGGAAAAAGAACAACAGCTCATTTTCCAGGGCTTACTGCTTCAGGATCCTCCAGATCCCAAAATGCAAATAATGAAGTAATAAACAGAATCATCAAGCTCATCCCGTGAAAGAGCCATTCTTCATCTTCTTTAAAGCCTGTAAGCTCTTTTTAGAAACCAAGTCTTGAGAGGCCGTTCTGCTTTGCAGAATGTGAGCATCTCCTGAACACTTGAAATTCCTTCCATCATACACAGGGTAATAATGCCTCAGTAAAGAACTGCAGCATTTAAAAGTAGTTGCTGCCTGCACTTAGTAGACCATATGGTGCAAATCATGCTAAAAAGAATAGTGATAGCATTTTCTTCTTTTCTATTACAAATTTAGAAAAGGAATACACTGGTAATGACCAAAATCTGATTAACCCTGGAACATACTTATCTCCTCATCAAAGAGCAGGCAATCAGCATTTCAAAATGGGCACTCTTATAACACAGCTTTCAAGTATTTTGGCTGCCTATTTTCTCCTTCTGCCTCTGGTACTTCTGTCCAAAAATACAATCTTGCTGTAATTGACACAATTCCAGCCATCCACATCCAGGAAGTGCTCTGAAGCCAGGTTCTCCACTCAGTGGGAACTCAAGCACTGAATTTGGAGCTATTTTATCCCATCACGTTCCTGTAATTTGCTCTCAGCCTGGGATCTGACACAAGGCAGTCATGCTGAAGTTCACTCAAATGATATCCAAAGTAATATAGATTCCAAAACTCCTACTTAATTTACTCATATTGATCTTGGCAGTCACTAAGCATTTGATTTTGAAGATCCTACAGACAGAAGTTTAGTTGCCTGGATCTTATATTCATTTTCCTTGAATGCTGACTAGGTAAGAGACTAGAAACTGCTGCTCAGCATCCATTAGTGCCTGTTCTCTTGATGGTTAAATTGCTTTTGATTTTTGGGCAATGCCTTACATCTTTGACATTAAAAGCTGAAACATTGCATCTATCCATTTCTTCTGTTTAGGGATTTTTCAGCTGTATTGTGTTCAAATGCCAAAACCATTCCATAGTCAGGAAAGTGTCAGTTATCCCTTCCTGTTCTTTTGACAGTGTGGGTGGAACTCAGCTATAGAGTAACAAGCCTTCACAAATAACAGTTTTGCTATTTTGAAAAGGGCCAATATTATTACGTATTCATATTTCTTTTGTTTGTTGCAGGCCTGGTGTGTTTGTTTATTACAACAGAATAAATGCTATTTATGTATACATTTATTATACATTATTTGTTTATACATTTTTGCTATTTTGTTCTTGAATCTTGTATTTTATGAACACAGCAGTGTTCATAACTTTGTGCATTGGCTGTAGTTCATCAGCCAGAACATCAGCTGTTCCCTCTCCCCTTTTTACCTTTTTCATTTACATTGAAATTCAGCTGTAACTGTGACATGGACAGGCATGTCGTGGTTAACTTCTGTCAGTTTGGCTCCTGATATTGAAGATGCTGTATCTTGTATTTTTAGTATTAGGGAAAATTATTTCCTGCAAGGTCCAGTTTGTGGGAGGAGTGTGCATTGAGGGAACACCTCTGACATTCTTTCAGCTGATGAACTGGAGCTGGACCTTTCCTTCCTCACTGCAAGAGCTGCCTGGGAAGGAGCAGCATAATGACAACTAAAGAGATAACTCTGTGTATTCATTGTTCTGGCAAGGCCATAAATATTTCAGTGGATTACTGAAATCAGAAATAGAAGAGACCTGATGAATTATACAGAGTATATCCTGAACCCAGCTGTACAGCTCCCTTTTTAATAGTTTTTGCTAGCAAAAGAATTAATATCACTGCTGTGTGCTTTAAAGGTAAAAAGCTTATATTTGTCAGCTAAACATTAGCTGAGACAGTACTTCCACTAGAAAATATTAATTTGGTGACATTAATATGTATTTTTCCTTTGAAACTTCTAACAACAGCAAAAGAAGGGAGTTATCCCAAAATAGAATTTATCAACTGTTTTATTCAAAGGAAAAGTTCACACTATTTGCTTGTCCCTGAAGGTTGATTTTTTTTTTCTCTCCTCTAAACAAAAATACTTAATGGGAAGATAGTTTCATGTTTGTCAAAAGTAATAATATTAAGTTTTTCAATGAACTTTTTGCTGTTGAATCTTATTTGAGTTGACATTAAAATGAAAATATAGACATCTCAGAATGACGTTATTTTAATTCTTACAATAAACATCAGATATATACAAGATGAGAAGTGGATCTATTTCACATTGTATTACACACTTGTTAAATTTTTGCCTTATTTTGGGAATATTTCATTATAAATCTGATAGCTTTTCTGCAACTCTTTAGATATATTGCGAATCAGACCACAGTAAGAAACCCAAAGGTGAACAACTTGCATAAAAATTAAAATTCAAAGTTGCATAACAAGGAAAATGGCTCCTGTAATCCTCATGCAAAAAAATCCAATCATATTTAATATCATTTTACAAGGATGCAGTCAAGAATGCAAAAGCTTTTTTTCTACATAACTGTTTACTTGCAGTAAGACTTTTAATTTTCTGGAAATCATTTAAATGTCCAATTTTGCCTGCCTGGTAAAAAAAAAAAAAAGAAGAAGAGTTATAACTCTCTCAGTGTTCATAGAACTGTAATTTCAAAAAGAAAATCTGTCCAAGAATTTGAATATGTTTAATTGCTACAGAAAATAAATGTTGCATTTAAGAAATGTAATACTGTGCAGTAATGAAAATAATTCTGATATAAATGAAATTGAATGTGCATAAAATAAATTTGAAAAGGGAGCACTAGACCTCTGAGACAAGTCCATTCTCTCTCCAGTCTGTAAATCTGATACAAACTGTTTCATTGACATGATTCCTACACCTTGATTAAAATTATTACCCCAATTTTAAAAAGGAATTTGAGTCA